CCCGACCACCCGAGTTCGATTCCCGCTCACGGCCACCACCGGTGACGATTATTTCAACGGGTCCTGGGCCTCCCCTAGGTCGACTCAGCCTCAAACGAGTAACCGGTGTGGTGTGTGAACATTGCCACTGGGGAGACAAAGGCGGCCGGGCGTGGTGAATCCAAGTCCCGGGCGAAGCCGGGTAGTAAAGCTAGTCGTTTATAAATGAACTTACCTTGAATTATGATGCTGCCCAGTAACATTTTACTTCTCATAACTTTATCGGTGTCGATGCAGTAGCCGTGTAGTCCCGGACAGCCAACAATCGCCGATAGCGAGTAACATGAATAACGGTGGCAACATACTCTTAGTTCTTTCGGTAAAGTCACGTAGGTAAAAAATGAAATTAAAATTAATAAAAATAAAACAACAAAAAAACATTTCGGAGGCAACGCAAGTCTCCTTGATGCATCAAGGTGATGCAGCAAATCTGGCTGTGACGGTCCCACCTGATGACGGAGACTTGCGTTGCCTCCGAAACATCGTGATTTTTATTTTTTTATTCATTTTAATTTCATTTTTTACCTACGTGACTTTACGGAAAGAACTAAGAGTATGAATCCTTGCAGTCACGAAAGCTTCAAATCTAGAACGTGGCAACACTCCGATGCACAGCTCACTATCGATCCGCCGCTAAGATTACCAATGGGATCTCCCGATCCGTGTATCGGCTTGCTAATTAATCGACGCAGGCGATTGACCCCCCCCCCCCCCCCCCGATGAATTGATGACTCTAACGTGGTTCAACTGCGAGCAGAATCAATGCGATACATTAATTAAAGTCCCACAATGACCATACATGGGCAGAGACACTCCACTGAATGGGCAATGCCATGCCAAACATGGAGCAGCAGGCTTTCGCGACCAATATTATCTGTAATAGGTTATAGATAGCGTAAATATGCGTCCTTAAACCCGCCGCCGCCACCACCCGACACAGCCACCACCCGACACAGCCAATTAGTAAGGTTTGTCACCACCTTGGTTCTTTCGGTAAAGTCACGTAGAAGGAAAATAATAAAAATAAAACATTAAATAATCTCACGACGTTTCGGCCACAACGCAAATAGCCGTCTTCAGGTGGGCGTGCCATTCAGACTCTGTCTCTCGACAGACCTGTTCTCCACCTGAAGACGGCTGCTTGCGTTGTGGCCGAAACGTGAGAATTATTTTATTATGTTTAATTTTTATTATTTTATTATTTCCCTTCTACGTGACTTTACCGAAAGAACCAAGAAGATGAATCCCTGCAGTCACGAAAGCTTTAAATCGAAGGTTTGTCACTTAATAAAACGTGGCAATTCGTTCTTAGTACAGCATACCGGTGTGTTGAGAGGAAACCCACAACATTTATAATTCGAGTGAAGACTGAAACAGGATTTATCCACAACTCTGGCTGTCGCCTGATGATGCCGGTTGTGGCACTCAAGAAAGCCTCACTGAGTTTCGGGTCTCGTTTTTTCAGGAGGTTCCTGCCAAGTTTTCGCAGTGGGGGGCTAGGGGTGAACTTCTAGGTCGACTCAGCCTCAAATGAGTGCCTGGTGCGGTGTAAACATTGCGACTAGGGAGACAAAGGCGGCCCGGGCGTGGTGCCGGCCTTCATAGGTGCAGCTTGCTTATAGGACTTGCCGCAACATTCTGTTCAGGCTATACGGGGGATCTTTGTTTTTTGTGTGGTGGTGCGAGTCTGTGGAGGATGGGTGTTGTTCCAGGGCTGTCGGGTTTTTTTAATACAAATACTCAATCAGGGACCAAAGCAATCCATTTTTGGGGGTATTTTTATCTATAATTGGTGTAATCCCGGTGTGACAATGATGGAAACATTCAATGAAATAAAACATTTTAAGCACAGAAAGATGGCGAATCGCGTGTAAATTTAATCGGTCTCCGGGAATGCATAGCGATGATTTGCTTACACAGTGCGTGCATGCTTCTCGAAGCGGTGGCACGCGCGGTGCGGTTAGCGCTTGCGCGATGAACCTGGCGACCCGAGTTCGCTTCCCGCTCACGGCCAACACCATTGACGATTAACTGAACCGGTTCTGGGCCTTCCCTAGGTCGACTCGGCCTCAAATTAGGACCTGGTGCGGTATGTGGTAAACATCGCCACTGGGGAGACAAAGTCGGCTGGCCGGACGTGCCGCCCACCCCCTCACGTGCCGTCCCGGCCTTCAAAAGTGCTGCTCGCCGACAGTCTGTGAAGACGTCGCGGGGGGATCTTTGTCTCGTGAACCACTGGGCCCTGAAAGCTTCACTCTTCCCCAACTCCCACTCACTATGCCCGCCTCCCCATGCACGGTGACTGTGCAGGTCAGAGGGAGTTGCCGAGAGGAAGAGGTCGCAAACGGGTTTTGATTCCTTACCCGTACCCGGCCGCACCAGGGTCGCAAATGGGTACCCGTAACCGTACCCGGCCGGGTACGGGTAGCCGTTCCCTACCCATACCCTACCCGAAATGAGCGACAAACGGTTACTCACCAGTGACTCACGACCTACCCGTACCCGGCCGCACCAGGGTCGCAAACGGCTACCCGTACCCGGCCGGGTACGAGTAGCCGGGTACGGGTAGGGTACGGGTATCGGGTACCCGGTTGCGACCTTTGCCGAGACGACCACCTTGACCCACGGTGAAAAGAAACCTCCAGCGAGCGCTTCCCTTCGCTGCAGACCTCTGCAACTTTAACGTCTTCACGTGAAGTCCTTCAGTGCAACCGGCCGCTGCTACTGCCGCGGCCGCTGCTGCTAATTAACGACGACTCGCAACTCTATCCGTACTACGCTCTTTGTGTCGCGTCACGAGCCGCAGGAGACGTCCGGAACGCTCGCAAAGCAGTGCAAATGTAATTGGTGTGAAGAAAAACAAGTAAACCCGTAAAACAAAGTTTTTCACTATAAATCCTTTATATGCGTGGCGGCTAGAGTCCTCTCGTCCTCTGGCTTGAGATCGCTGCCACCTATGGGTCAGATGATTGTCTGCCAGTATTAAGCAATTGGTAATTAAATATTTAATTTGTTTTCCCTAAAAAGTGTAAAATTTTTGAAAACATTTTTCACGAACATTAATTGTCTCGCACAACGAGTCTGTGTGCAAAATGTCAGCTCGATTGGATCACGGGAAGTGGGTTAAAAAACCGAAAGATTTGCACGGTCGTAAGCAAGCAAGCTAACTTAATATAAGGATTTAATAATGGCACGGAAGCGGATATATCTCGTAGAGCTACTTCTTAGGGACGCCTTCAAGCGATCACCTGGTCCCACCCCCGCTTAGCGCACAACAGCGACAATGTTAGTCGCGTGACGATCGAACCAATGATTTCAATTCTCCGAGTTGCTACTGCGAAACAAATGTTTATTTTTTTAACCAGGTAAGGCTCCGCTGAGCTGTGTAGCCTGGCCGCCACAAATGACAGCCCGCTGAAGTGGCTCAACATCGTCACGTGGGAAATGCATTGCAGCCAAATACTCTAAACGCGTGGCGATGTCGATTGTAAAAGTGGAGAGGAAAAACCGGAGGACCCGGAGAAAAGTCCACGCGACCATGGGAAGAAGAGAGGCATTGTATGGATCGCAATCGAACCCACGACCTCCTCCATACCCGGCGAGGTAGTTAAGATCTTGCCAACGCGGCACCCCGAAGATGGAAAGAGGTGGAGGAATCAGGGGGGGAGGGGGGCAGCAAGTTTGCATCGCCAGACGGTCACGGCACGGCCACACTCGCCGTAACACCGCCGCCGTCACCGCCGTGGTCAATGATGAGTCGCTGGGCGATGGCCTGCAGGATCTGGTGAGCGCCGCTCTCCGGCGAGGCCTCCAGCAGGGAGCGGCCGTCCTCACCGCACCGCGCCAGCTGCAGCTCCACCGGCACGCAGCCTAGAGGGGGGGGGCGGGGAGGGGGGGGGGGCGCTTCATTGGGTGGCCGTTGGAAAGCTGTGGGTGGCTGCGGTCATCCAGAATAGACCGTCCGACGTGTATTTAAAAACACATGATACAGGGTTTTTTTTGGGTTGGATTGCGTAAATATAAATGTGTCGTTAAACCCGCCACCACCCAGGGCAGCCAATTAGTAAGGGTTGTCACGTAAACAGAACGTGCCAATTTGTTACTAGTACAGCACTAGTGTATAGTGTAGTGCAGGGGTGTCCAAACTTTTTGCAAAGAGGGCCAAATTTTATAAAGTAAAGATGCCCGGGGGCCAATAGTTCCTTCTGACATTTTTACCACAAAATTTACGTGAAAATACACACACTGTTATAAAACAATTATCATTGTCACAATTACCTTTATTTTTCAAATGACAATGTAACCAAATATAAGCCACTCAGGCAGACGGGAACAACTCTAAAACACAATTCTGCCTTTCATTCAGTCAGATAACTTTGAACAAACTGTATAGAATACCTTAAATTTCCATGAGTTAATATATTTGCCTCATGAACATTTTATACAGGAGTTATAAAGTAATGCAAAGTGGTCTGTTATCATTAAACTTTAAAACAAGTGAATTTTGCCCTCTCTCTTTACGTTGAAATCCTTAAACAAGGCATCTGTCTCCTTAGAAATTAGACAAACACAATTGCCTCGATTTCCAGTGAAGAAGTATTGTAATTCCCACCGCTCCTGAAAGCGGCGGCCCTCACTGTCAACTTTTCTCTTTTTTTTTGCAGTCGCCATGGCAGACATGATTCGAGAAGGGTTCGCGGCACGGATGCAAAATTAGAGAGCATTAGAATGGTGCTGCCACCGTGTGGCGGAAGGAGGAATATCATCTTTAAAGTTTTATGATTTATAAGACCGAAGCTGCGGGCCGTATGAAATCTGACCTCGGGCCGTGATTGGCCCGCGGGCCGGACTTTGGACATGCCTGGTGTAGTGTATAGTGTAGTGTATAGTGTAGTGTATAGTATAGTGTAGTGTGTAGTGTATAGTAGTATAGTGTAGTGTATAGTGTAGTGTGTAGTGTATAGTGTAGTGTATAGTGTAGTATACTAGTACAGCACTAGTGTATAGTGTAGTACACTAGTACAGCACTAGTGTATAGTGTAGTGTATAGTGTAGTGTATAGTGTAGTGTATAGTATAGTGTGTAGTGTAGTATACGAGTACAGCACTAGTGTGTAGTGTATAGTGTAGTGTATAGTGTAGTGTATAGTGTAGTATAATAGTACAGCACTAGTGTATAGTGTAGTGTATAGTGTAGTGTATAGTGTAGTACTAGTACAGCACTAGTGTATAGTGTAGTATACTAGTACAGCACTAGTGTATAGTGTAGTGTATAGTGTAGTGTATAGTGTAGTATACTAGTACAGCACTAGTGTATAGTGTAGTATACTAGTACAACACTAGTGTATAGTGTAGTGTATAGTGTAGTATAGTACAGCACACCGGTTGTGAGTTGAAGAGCCACCACAACATTTACAATCTGAGTACGACGTTTCGCCAGTAATTACAACCGGCATCATCAGGCGACAGCCAGATTTGTGGTCGGATGATATTGGTCGCGAAAGCCTACGTGTTAAAGTGTATAAAAGAAGCAGGCGCGAAGGAAGGAAGCGGGTGAATGGTCGATCGATTCAACTCACCCAGGAAGGGGACCTTGAATTCGTCGGCCAGCGCCTCCCCGCCGCCCTTGGAGAACACGTTGCTGCACTCCTGCAACGGCAGAGGTCACGCCTCGCTCGGGATGCCCTCACACGCTTCGCGTTTCAAGAACGTGCCGCGCGCGAATACCGAACCTGACGACGATTCGCTTTCATTTCAAACTATTTTTTTATCTCACCAGGTAAGGCAGCACTGAGTTACGTGGCTCATTTTTCTGAAGCGACCTGGTCGCAAATGATTGTTCAACCAAGTGGCTCATCATCACGTGGACATTTATAGCAGACATACTCGAAAGGCGTGATTCTAAATGGAGAAAAATCCACGCGACCACGGGGGGAACATTCATACTCCAAATATACAGCAGCAGCAGGCGTCAGGGTCGGGATTTAACCCACGACCTCCTGTGTACCAGGCGAGGGAATTAACATCTCATAGCCACCGTGATGATGATGAGAGAGACACGCAAACTCCAAATATACAGCAGCAGACGTCAGGGTCGGGATCCAACCCACGACCTCCTGTGTACCAGGCGAGGGAGTTAACATCTCATAGCCACCGTGATGATGATGAGAGAGAGACACGCAAACTCCAAATATACAGCAGCAGACGTCAGGGTCGGGATAGAACCCACGACCTCCTGTGTACCAGGCGAGGGAGTTAACATCTCCCAGTCACCGCGTCGCACCTTTGATACTCACCTGGAAAGTCCGCGTTGATTTCATTTCAACCGGGTCAGAAACAACTCAAGATACAACAACAACAAGCCTCATTTGCGGAGCGACTTGCTGGGGCATTAGTCTGGTGCCAGTATGGGGTGACGATTGCTGCTGTGTACACTATAACCCCAATGAGCGGTGCGCGGGGTAATATTAGAACGTGGAGAATTTGGACTCCGACGCCAGCCAGCCAACCACAGCAGGGTTGGCCAATCGTGCTCATTGCACCTCCGGTTGGCACGGTTGGCTACGTATGGCGCGATAGAAGTTCAACATACAACATGTGGGAGAGAATGGGGGGGGGGGGTGCTTTTCCTCCGCGGTGGGAGGTTACAGACAGACAACCACAACAACAACCACGACAACACAACAACAACAACCACCACAAGCGCGACAACAACAACCCAACAACAACAACCACCACGACAACCACGACGACAACCACGACGACAACCACCACAACAACCACGACGACAACTACGACAACCACCACCACAAGCGCGACAACAACAACAACCACCACAACAACCACGACAACAACCACGACGACAACCACGACAACAACAACCACAACGACAACAACCACGACGACAACCACGACGACAACCACCACCACAAGCGCGACAACAACAACAACCACCACAACAACCACAACAACAACAACCACCAGGACAACCACAACAACAACAACAACGACGACAACCACCACGACAACCACCACCACAAGCGCGACAACAACAACCACGACAACAACAACAATCACAACGACCACGACGGCCACGAAACAACGACCACGACAACAACAACCACGACAACAACAACCACGACAACAACAACCACGACAACAACAACAATCACAACGACCACGACAACAACACGGCGAAACTCACGGAGCAATGGGGGCACACGAAGCCACTCATGTTCTCGATGATGCCCAGCACCTTGAGCCCCGTCTTACTGCGAACGTCAGCTCCCTCCTCACGTCGCCCACCGACACCTCCTGCCCGTGGACAGAGCAGGGGGGGTGGAGGGGGGGAGCAGAGACAAGGAACGTGATATTAGTTTACTTATTTAGAACTATTATTATATAATAAGTTATTTATCCAGGAGAGCCACACACGGTGGCTAGGAGATGTTAACTACCTCGCCTGGTGTGCAGGAGGTCGTGGGTTCGGTCCCAAACCTGACGCCTGCTGTCTATATAGAGTTTGCGTGTCCCTCTCTTTCATCATCACGGTGGCTAGGAGATGATAACTACCTCATCTGGTCTAAAGGAGGTCGTGGATTCGATCCCGACGCCTGACGCCTGCTGCTGTATATTTGGAGTTTGCGTGTCTCTCTCTTTCATCATCATCACGGTGGCTCGGAGATGTTAACTACCTCGCCTGGTGTGCAGGAGGTCGTGGGTTCAATCCTGACCCTGATGCCTGCTGATATATTTGGAGATTGCGTGTCTCTCTCTCCCCGTGGTGTCGTGGAATCCACGCGAGATTGCCCCTACAGTACAGTAGTTGCAAGGGTGGGCAGAGTTTAATCGACGTTGATTGGCGTGGCTCTGCTGCTGTTATCCACTTAGTGGGCCGAGACTTCTGCTGGGCGGGAGCAGGAAAGTGTTTTTTATCACCGAGCACGAGCATCGGTCAGTCGAATCTTTACTCCAAATGTATATTCTTTGGTTCTTTCGCTAAAGTCGTGTAGATAAGAAATAAATAAATAAATATTTAAAACTCTATCTTCTTAGCTTGAACATCATTTATATCTTCCAAGTGTTTTTTGGCACAGAAATCCGTGGGAACTGGGTACACTTTCGGATTATCCGCGATTGTGAATTATCCGCGGCCGTCCTCCCCGCCACTGGCGCGGATTATAACCGAGAGTTCTGCTGTAAACGTTAACGGGCCAAACGCCTCATCGCTGGCAAGAACTGCACAACAATCCCGACAGGGCGTGTAATCGTCCAACCTCCAAAGGAAGGAGGAGCATTCAAATCCGGACGAGTCATCGATCCGAAAGGAGCGTACGGGCAAGCCTGACTCTCCTGATGAGACACTGTATGTTGAATCTGGTCAAGAGTCTGCTTACGCTGAACCAATGCTGCCGAAATGATGCCCTCTCTCTCGGAAGGCGTTGTGGTTCGTGATGATGATGATGATTTTGTTGTTGGGACTGCCAGCACTGTGACCCAGCCGACTCGCAGGGCCCGGCAGAAGAGTGGCGAGCGAGCGGGAGAGTGGGAGTGGGCAAGCGAGCTGGTGAGTGAGTGAGTTGGACAGCGGGTGAGTGAGAGGGTGAGCGAGTAGGTGAGTGAGCAAGTGGGAGAGCGGGTGAGCGGGTAGGTGAGCGACCGGGTGGGTGAGCGAGCGGGTTAGCGAGCGGGTGAGCGAGTGGTTGAGTGGGTGAGCGAGTCGGTGGGTGATTAAGTGGGTGGGTAAGTGAGTAAATAAGTGGTGAGCGAGCGGGGCGAGTGAGCGGGTGGGTGAGCTAATGGGATGACCTTTGGAGTGATGACGAGCAGGGCACCAGCGTGTGAGTGGGTGAGCGAGCGAGCTGGTGGGTGAGCGAGTGGGCGAGCGGGTAAGTAAGCGGGTGAGTGAGCGGGCCCACCTGTGGCGTGGTGACGAGCAAGGCTCCAGCGGGTGAGCGGCCGCGCAGGCTCTCCAGCACGGCCATGTGCTCGTCCGACGTTCCAGGCGGGGTGTCCACGAGCAGGAAGTCCAGCTCTCCCCACAGCACGTCGCTCACAAACTGCTTGATCATTGCTACTCAGCACGACACACAAACCACACCACGACATCATCAACAACAACCGCCATTCGCCACCAAGTTGCAGTGGCGACAACACTGAGCTTGTGCCAGGCTAGGTGCACTTTGAGGCCACGTGAAGCGTCGAAGGCTGTCGCTGCTTGCAGACGGCCATGGGACAGACCCAGGTGCCGTGGGTTGACTGACTGAGATGACTGCTAGATGCACCAACTGTGCTCCCTACTGTGCCGACTTGCTGTGCTTTAGCCACCCGGTGCTCCGCTCGTTGTTGTGAGCGTCGCTCCTCCGCCCTCCGTTGTTTTTGGAGGGCGACTGCCTCCAACTGACACACACACACTGACACACCTGTACACACCTGCACACACCCGCACACACCCGCACACCCCGCGCACGTAAACAACGAGCCCCGGCGCGGTGCCGCACCGTTCTTCTTGGGGCCTCTCCACACGACGGCGTCGTCGGCCTGCGCCAGCAGGAAGCTCACGGACATGACGGCGAGACGGCGCCCGGCGTCCGCGTACACGGGCAGCCACCCGGCGGCGCACTGGTGCACGGCGCGGCCCTGCAGGCCCAACATGCGCGGCACGCTGGGGCCGCACAGGTCCACGTCCAGCAGCCCCACCTAGCGCGGGGGGCCGGGGGCGGAGGGGGAGCGCTGTGAGCCGAGGTCGCAATCGGGTACCCGATACCCGTACCCTACCCGATATCCGGCTACCCGTACGCAGCTGGGTACACGTCGTGTTTTGACGAGACAAAAATGTCTTGGGATACGACGTCTTGCTTGGGATACGACATCTTGCTTGGGATACGACGCGCTTGCTAGAACTTGTATGGGTCGGGATGAGTCACCGCGTACCCGCGTATACCCGTTCACGACCGAAACAAAGCGCCGCTCCTCAGTCTGCCTGTAGATGTCGTTCATTCTTAGCAGAAGGCAAAAACAAACTTCAACGGAGAGGTTTATAGTAAAACTCAAACCTGGTGAGCCTCAACCAGGTCCAAGGCAAAAGAAAGACAGAAAAGAGAAAAGACCCCAGAATTTCAGCTTCCTGAAGTTTTAATGGAAGGGGACTCTCCTTCCAAAAAATAACATCTCCTCCCCCCTTCCTCACCACCATCCTCGTAGGCTATCAACTCCTCTCAGCAAGGTAAAGTGACGTTACATTTTTTTAAAAATTTTAAAAATTTATTTATACATTTATTTTATTTATTTATGCATTTATTTAAATTTATGTATGCATTTTAGTAATAAGTAGTGTCTAAATTATTTTATACAACCCCATTAATGTATAATATGCCATATAAAATATAATTTATTATCCTCTGGAACGGATTATTTCCTTTCCCTTCATTTCTTATGGGGAAAATTCGTTTGGTCTACGTCATTTTCGGTAGAAGTCCTACCTTCTGGAACGGATTAACGACGTATACCGAGGTACCACTGTATATTTGGAGTTTGCGTGTCTCTCTCTCCCCGTGGTCGCGTTGATTTTTCTCCGGGTTCTCCGTTATTCCCCCTCCACATTTAGAATCACGAGTATTGATTCTAAATCAGCATTTGGCTCCAATACATTTCTGCGTAACGACGACGACAAGCCACTTCGTGGAGCTTTCATTTGCGATAGTCAGGTCGCTTCTGAAAGAGAGAGCGACTACAGCCCAGCGACATCAAAATAGAACCGATTGCCGCACCACCCCAGAGCCGATGATGTCGTTCAACCACCGCCACCCAGGTACCTTCTGCCCGGCGTTGCGCAGCGCCAGCGCCAGCTGCGTGCTCACGGTACTCTTGCCCACTCCGCCTTTGCCGGAGAGCACCAGCACCACGGACCTCACCCCGGAGAGGCCTCCCTCGTCACGCCCCGCCACCGTGTCCCCTGCAGCAGAGGTTGCAGACGGGTTTTCATTCCTTACCCGTACCCGTACCTGGCCGCACCAGGGTCGCAAACGGGTACCCGTACCCATACCCGGCCGTACCCATACCCGGCCGGGTACGGGTAGGGTACGGGTATCGGGTACCTGATTGCGACCTCTGGGATGAAGCCACGTTGCAGGCGCGGGGGGGTTAATTCTAGGAACTTGAATTGTGAGAAGAGACAAGACATTGGGAAATGAGTGACAGTTACTCACCAGTGACTCACGGCCTACCCGTACCCGTACCCGGCCGCACCAGGGTCGCAAACGAGTACCCGTACCCGGCCGGGTACGGGTAGGGTACGGGTATCGTGGTACCTGATTGCGACCTCTGGGATGAAGCCATGTTGCAGGCGCGGGTGGGTTGATTCTAGGAACTTGAATTGTGAGAAGAGACAAGACGTTGGGAAATGAGTGACAAACAGTTACTCACCAGTGACTCACGGCCTACCCGTACCCGTACCCGGCCGCACCAGGGTCGCAAACGGATACCCGTACCCGGCTGGGTACGGGTAGCCGGGTATTGGGTAGGGTACGGGTATCGGGTACCCGGTTGAAACCTCTGCCCTGCAGGATCCGTCATGAGATTTGGCGAGCGGTGGCGTGAGAGCAGCGAGGGGGTGAGGGCGCACAGGAGGTTGGTGACAAGCGGAGGGCAAGGCAGGGGGTCACAGGGCGGTTAGGACGGCCGTCAAACACCATGTCAATCCACTGCTGGATGATGCATGCTGATGGGTGTGGGGAGCGGGAGTGTAGCGCTAAAAACCGGCCTAGCCGAGTTCGATTCCCGCTCACGGCCAACACACCAGTGACAATTATCCGAGCTGGTCCTCCCCTAGGTCGACTCAAGTGAGTGCTGTACATGGCGCGGTATGTAAACACATGGGCACCGGGGAGACAAAGGTGGCTGGGCGTGTTGGCCACCCATCCCCTCGTGTGCCGTGCCAGCCTTCATAGGTGCTCGCTAACAGCACTTTCCCCAACAGTTTGTTCAGGCTATACTGCAGATTTTTGCCATTGTTATATATATAAACACTCATCATTCATTGCCTGAAAATATCTTTAAAACCCAATGCAGCAGAACCATCATGAGTCTATGGCTCAGTGTGGCTCTACTGGATAAGAAACATTTATACTGATAGTAACCTCCTGGTTACACCAGCCCACAGGGGATTATTGTGTCCGTCGTGCAGGGAGGGGCTGGGTGGGGCTGGGTGGGGAGAGTGGGGAGGGGCTGGGTGGGGCTGGGAGGGGTGGGGCTGGGTGGGGAGGGGCTGGTCACCCCGTGGTGCCCTTATAAAACTCAACGTTTAACCTACTCACGCCGGCTTGTGCCCGCCCTCACAGTCGGGCATATTTGCGGAATACACCACGCCGCCGTTGACCCTGGCCATTGACCGAGCAACCCAACGTTCCTACCAGCTCCCTCCGCAGGAATGTGTTCATGACCCAAAGCAATTGTACCAATGAAATGTATGGATTGTACGAATGTTGAACTTCTTTCGCACCGTACGTAGCCAACCGCGCTAATCGGAGGTGCGCGGGGGAAGAACAACAACACAAAACGCAGTTGTAGAGAATAAATAAATGTGAATAACATAATTAAAGTGCAATGTGCATAAGCCCCTCCGATTAGCACGGTTGACTACGTATGGTGCGAAAGAAGTTCAACATACATACTACTATTTATTCTACACTACTAGCCACTACACTACTATACACTACACACTACACTATACACTACGATACACTACACTATACACTACACAGTAAAATATTATACACTACATAGTACAATATACACTACACTACGATACACACCATACACCACGATACACTACTATACACTACACTACTATACACTACACTACTATACACTACACTACACACTTCACTACTATACACTACACTACGATACACTACACTACTATACACTACACTATACACTACACTACGATACACTACACTACTATATACTACACTATACACTACTATACACTACACTGCACTACGATACACTACACTACACTACGATACACTACACTATACACTACGATACACTAGACTATACACTACACTACTATACACTACACTATACACGACACTAATATACACTACACTACTATACACGATACTATACACTGCACTACGATACACTACTATACACTACACTACGATACACACCATACACCACGATACACTACACTATACACTTCACTACTATACACTACACTACTATACACTACTATACACTACACTACTATACACTACAGTACACTACTATACACTACACTATACACTACACTATATACTACACTACTATACACTACACTATAGACTACACTATACACTACACTATACACTGCACTATACACTACACTACTATACACTACTATACACTGCACTACGATACACTGCACACTACTATACACTACACTATGATACACTGCACACTACTATACACTACACTATTTTACACTACACAGTGCACTACTATACACTACACTATGATACACTGCACAATACACTACTATACACTACACTATTTTACACTACACAGTGCACTACTATACACTACACTATGATACACTACACAATACACTACTATACACTACACTATTTTACACTACACAATACACTACTATACACTACACTATGATACACTACACACTATACACTACACTACGGTTAGCACGGTTGGCTACGTACGGTACGAAAGAAGTCCAACGAAGAGTAAAAAGTAAAACACAGACGCACGCGCCTACGGACGACCGCGTGGTCAACGCATTTCTACGGCAGTAGCAGTAGCAGCAGCTTAACCCGCTCCCCTGGTCGGCGAGTGTTTCATTCCGCGAACGAATCACACAAAACTCATTCTCCGCTTCGCGTTTACCCCGGCCGCTGTCGTCCACGTGAGCCTCCATGCGTCTCGTATTTCACAATCGCGGAACCGCGAGCGCTGGGGGGAGGGGTGGGGGGCGTTTTGGTTGTGAGCGGCTTCCGTAGTCGTTGAGGAAGCCATCTTGGGTAGGGGCTTGGTGGTGGTTGCCATGGCAATCGAGATTAGATTCATCTTCTTGGTTCTTGCGGTAAAGTCATCACGTAGAAGGGAAGTAATAAAATAATAAAAATAAAACATAATAAAATTATTTTAAAGCTTTCGTGACTGCAGGGATTCATCTTCTTGGTTCTTTCGGTAAAGTCACGTAGAAGGGAAGTAATAAAATAATAAAAATAAAACATAATAAAATAATTTTAAAGCTTTCGTGACTGCAGGGATTCATCTTCTTGGTTCTTTCGGTAAAGTCACGTAGAAGGGAAGTAATAAAATAATAAAAATAAAACATAATAAAATTATTTTAAAGCTTTCGTGACTGCAGGGATTCATCTTCTTGGTTCTTTCGGTAAAGTCACGTAGAAGGGAAGTAATAAAATAATAAAAATAAAACATAATAAAATAATTTTAAAGCTTTCGTGACTGCAGGGATTCATCTTCTTGGTTCTTTCGGTAAAGTCACGTAGAAGGGAAGTAATAAAATAATAAAAATAAAACATAATAAAATAATTCTCACGACGTTTCGGCTACAACGCAAGCAGCCGTCTTCAGGTGAAGAATGAGACACTGCCAAGCTTGGAGCTTATATATAAGCTGGGTTGGAGGTGGAATAAGAGCGCCTTGACAAAATAATGTGCATATCAAGAGGAATTTAGAGATTAGATTGTTTACATTTATACTGCACGAGAAATCCGACAAGCGATAAAGCTTTTTTTGTAACAGATGCTCCAGTAGAGGGCACGGGGTCAGAAAGTTACAACAAGCATTACTAAAAAAAACTATAGATGTGCAAAGTATAGCTCTATTTCTCTTCTTGGTTCTTTCGGTAAAGTCACGTAGAATGGAAATAATAAAAATAAAACATAATAAAATAATTATTATATAAAATAATTATTTTATATATTATTATATAAAATAATTATTTTATTATGTTTAAAAAAAATAAAACATAATAAAATAATTATAATAATTAAACATAATAAAATAATTATTTTATGTTTTATTTTTATTATTTGGAAAGAACCAAATAATAAAAATAAAACAATAAAATAATTATTTCATAAACAATAAAATAATTATTTCATTATGTTTTATTTTTATTATTTGGTTCTTTCGGTAAAGTCACGTAGAATAGAAATACAATAATAAAAACTAAACATAAAATAAATATTTTATTATGTTTTATTTTTATTGTTTTATTATTTCCATTCTACGTGACTTTACCGAAAGAACTAAACATAAAATAAATATTTTATTATGTTTTATTTTTATTATTTTATTATTTCCATTCTACGTGACTTTACCGAAAGAACCAAATAATAAAAATAAAACATAATGAAATAATTATTTTATTATGTTTTATTTTTATTATTTGGTTCTTTCCAAATAATAAAAATAAAACATAAAATAATTTGTTTTTATGTTTTATTTTTTTAAACATATATAATAATTATTTTATTACGTTTTATTTTTATTATTTAGAAATACAATAATAAAAACTAAACATAAAATAAATATTTTATTGTTTTATTTTTTGATTTAAAGCTTTCGTGACTGCAGGGATTCATCTTCTTGGTTCTTTCGGTAAAGTCACGTAGACTTTACCGAAAGAACCAAGAAGATGTTTTATTTTTATTATTTTATTATTTCCCTTCTACGTGACTTTACCGAAAGAACCAAGAAGATGAATCCCTGCAGTCACGAAAGCTTTAAATCGAAATTTATCTCTATTTAGTTCACCAGGCAAGCTGTTAAGATTATTTATCAGAAGCGACCTGGCGATCACAAATGATAGCTCAACAAAGTGGGCCATCATGTGGAAATGTAGAGAAGTTTTGTTTTCATGCATTTTAAGTGATTTGTCTAGTCCTTTCCCCGCACCTCCAATTACTTAATATCGTTTATTGTTTTGATTTAAAGCTTTCGTGACTGCAGGAATTCATATTCTTCGTTCTTTCGGGAAAGTTCTATTATTTTATTATTTCCCTTCTACGTGACTTTACCGAAAGAACCAAGAATATATATCGTTTATTGTTGTTAACGTATTGACTCCGTGCCCATTCTGGACATCCGTGAAATAAATAAAAAGCTTTATAAGCTAAACGGCTTCGTCCTCTGGTATAAGTAAAAAAATGTTTTATCCTGTTCTAAATAAGCCGTGCGCGTGATGTCACCCACCCCTTACCAAGATGGCCAACGCACGAAACGTCGCCCACCCCTTACTAAGATGGCAGACGAGCAAGCTGTTACCAACCACATACCCTGACCAAGATGGCCGACACACACATCGCTTATCCCTTACCAAGATGGCAGACAAGCAAGCTGTTACCAACCACATACCCTGACCAAGATGGCCGACACACGCGCCGTCGCTAAACCCTTACCAAGATGGCCAACGCGCGATACGTCGCCCACCCCTCACTAAGATGGCTGACGAGCAAGCTATTACCAACCACATACCCTGACCAAGATGGCCGACACCCGCCCCGCTAATCCCTTACCAATATGGCCGATAATCGAGCCGTTACCAACTCAACCCCCCTTACCAAGATGGCCGACGCGGCGCTTCGCGACCCCGCGTCCTTCCGCCACGCCGTTGTGTACAGTGCGCGGCACAGTGCAGTGTGTTGGTGGTGGTGGTGGTGAGCGATGGCGCTGCTGAGGCTGCCCTCCATCTCGCTGCGCTTGTCCGCCGCGGTCTCCACCGCCGTCTTCGCAAGAGAGACGGGTACAGGCGTCGCTATCTCCCTCGCCTGGCGATGTAGTAATTGTGTTCGTGGAGTTCGCACGTTTAGAATGTAAATGTTGACTTTGCCGCATTATATACTCTTGGGTTGTTTCGGCAAAGTCACGTGGGTAAAAATATAGATAAAGAATAAATAGAAATAAAATGTTTTTTGAAATTAAATAATTAATCGCGACGTTTCGAAACTTTCTTAATTATTTTATCATAATTTTTTCCTACGTGACTTTACCGAAAAAAACTCCTAAGAGTATGAATCCTTGCAGTGTCGAAAGCTTCTAATCTCGACTTTGCCGCATTATTATCGGCCGTGTGGCCGCGCCGGATTCGAACGTGGGTCACTTGGCTGGGGATTTGGCGACAACCACTGCACCACCGCTCCTCCACCCACACACGACTCACCACCTACAATCAATCAATGAATGGCACAAACTCTCTCTCTTTCTCTTGCACGCCGTGGTTCGCGTGGATTTTTTTCCTCTCCCGGTGCCCTCCGATGTTGTATCCCTGCACATTTCGAGGAGTCGGGCAATTCGTCTGCTGCTGCTGCTGCTATGAATTTACACGCGGCAAGCCACTTAGTTGAGTTGTTTGTGATGGGCAGGGCGGTTTTGGAAAAAGTTAATAACTCAGTGGGATTTGCTTGATTAAAATTTAAAAAGATAGTTTTTTATTTTTCTTTGGGTCTTTCGGTAAAGTCAAGTAGATAGAAAAATAATAATAAAAAAACCCACCACCACCACCACACCACCACCACCACCACCACCCCACCATCACCACCCCCCCCCCCACCACCACCACCCCCCCCCCACCACCACCACCACCCCCCCCCCACCACCACCCACCACCACCACCCCCCCCACCACCACCACCCCACCACCACCCCCACCCCACCACCACCACCCCCCCCACCACCACCACCCCCCCACCACCACCACCCCCCCACCACCACCACCCCACCACCACCACCCCACCACCACCACCACCACCCCCCCCACCACCACCACCCCACCACCACCACCCCCCACCACCACCACCCCACCACCACCACCCCCCCACCACCACCCCCCCCCACCACCACCCCCCCCCACCACCACCCCCCCCCCCACCACCACCACCCCCCCACCACCACCACCCCTCCCCCCCACCACCCCCCCCCACCACCACCGTCTCTAAACCTTCTCGTGACCCCCTCCCTCCCCTGACTTGTGACCGCTGTGCAGCCGCGTTGGCTGCGGCCGGCGTGAGGTGGGCGTCCAAGAAGGCGGGCAGCAAAGTTCGGAACTCGGCGCCCAAAAGTCCGGGCAAGCGCTACGGATGGAAGAAGTTTGAAGGTAAAAAAAAAATAGTCCCGCATCGCCAGGCGAGTGATGTGGCCAGGGTGGTGGTGATGTCACCAGGGTGGTGGCGACGTCGCCAGGGTGGTGGCGACGTCGCCAGGGTGGTGGCGACGTCGCCAGGGTGGTGGCGACGTCGCCAGGGTGGTGGCGACGTGGTCATGTGACCAGGGGGGTGGTCATCGCAGAAGAAGAAGACGAAACGACCCATGTTTGCAGACATTCCCCACCTCCCAATTGGCACGGTTGGCTACGTACGGTGCGAAAGAAGTTCAGCGTACCGTACATCCATTCTGAGACACTGCGGTTGCTGTGAAGGTAAAATTTGCTTTCACCATGATTGCCCCTCCTAGGGCAGGTGGCGGCAATGTTGGGGCTCAGAAACCGCGTGCGGCTCTTCAAGGGACCGCTTCTTGACAGTCATTAAGGAACCATCGTCTCTTATTCACCATGTGCATTGCGGCTCTTGATGTATTGCGGGGGTTTTCTTTTTTCAGAATTTCGAAAAATATGGCTCTTATTCTTGGTTCTTTCGGTAAAGTCACATAGAAGGGAAATAATAAAATATAAATATAAAACAATTAAAATTCTCACGACGTTTCGACTGCAACACAAGCAATCGTCATCAGGTGTGAAATCCACAGCAAGAAATTTTGAAAAAGTGGCGGTTTTTCCTAACGTCAGCATCAAGAAAAAACCGCAACTTTTTTAAAATTTTCTTGCTGTGGATTTCACACCTGATGATGATTGCTTGTGTTGCAGTCGAAACGTCGTGATAATTTTATTGTTTTATATTTTTATTATTTTATTATTTCTCTTCTACGTGACTTTACCGAAAGAACCAAGAAGATGCATGCAGAATATAAGCAAATAATACGCTCATCATGTTTGTTCTGAAAAGTGGGGGCAGAAAAATGTCACCGTGAGAAAAAAAACGAGAAACCACACAAACCAGACGGTGAAAAGGAAAACGAGACTTTACCGAAAGAACCAAGAAAATGAATCCCTGCAGTCACGAAAGCTTTAAATCAAAATATGGCTCTTGTTGTTATTTCGGTTTTCCGACCCCTGTCTTCCACGGTCAAGTGTTTTGTTTTGTTTCTTGTCGGTCACACCGCAGGCATTGGGTTGGGCGGGTGATTGGGCCCGCGTATGGGCAGATGGAGTGAGCTCGTTTGTGGACAAGTTAGCGAGTCTAAATTAGCGAGTAAGCGAATGGGTGAGCGGGTAGAGAGACAGCGATTGAGTTGGCAAGCGAGCGTGCGCATTAGTACGTGGGTTTTTGAATGGCGGGTGAATTAGTGAAACATGGTCACACCGGTCTGGCGAATTGCCCGATGATGCTGGATGCAATTACCAGCGAAACGTCGTATTCAAAAATTGTAAATGTTGTGCTTTCACACTTCAACACACCGGTGGGGCTAAAGCAGTGAACTATTTGTCTTTTGTCAACGTGACACTTTTTTACCGATTGGCCGTGTCGGGTGGTGGAGGGTTACGACACATTTATAAATAACGCGATCTAAACCCAAAAACGTTGATTATGAATAGTGAAAGAGTGGCCCGATTGAATATACGAGTGGGTACATTAATGAGTGAGTAAATTGATCAATGGGTGAGGAATGTGCGAGTGAGTTCATTGAGTGCGACACTTAAGAAAGGAACGAACGAGGGAATGACTGAATGAACGATTGATTGAGTGAGCCGTCTCCGTTCCCCAGGTGCCATGGTTCATGCCGGCAACATCCTCGCCACGCAGAGGCTCATCCGCTGGCACCCGGGGGCGTTTGTGAGTTCCTCCCTGCGCCGTCCACACTCTCTCTCTCTCGCTCTCTACTGATGTCGCAGCAGAGGCATTCTTACTCGCAAGTGTTTCTCACACGTCCACACGCAACGGGGTGGGGGGCGGTGAATTGTTACAAAGTCACGTAGGTAAAAAATGTAAATTTAAATTAATAAAAGTAAAATAAAAATAAAATCACGACGTTTCGGAGGCAACACAAGCCTCCGTCTTCAGGTGGAATTTTTTATTAAAATGTTTTACCTGCGTGACTTTACCGAAAAAACCTAAGAATATGAACCCTTGCAGTCACGAAAGCTTCAAATCTAAAGTCTGATGAATGGTGACACCTTCTCATTCACCCATCTATATTCCTCGAGATCAAATCCACATGGTCACACCATTCCGGATTGCAAGCCCAGCGTGCTGACCATTACACCACCACAGCGGCATATTGAAACTAATCACCCACCTTCTTAATTGCAAGTCCAGCGTGCAACCTATGGGACCACTTTTTTCCACAATCAAAATGATGAAAAAAAAAGGGTTCCGTATAGAAACTGCTCAACCCGTGTGATAATGCTTTAATGTGTGCATTGTCCTTGTGCTGTTCACCGGTTGGCATTCTCTGGTCTAACACCGGTGGTGAGACAAGGCTATAAAGTAGGCTGTCTCTGGTGTGGGCCAATCAGTTCAAAGACATTATAATCAAAGCATGTTTGCATGTTTTATCACACGCATGATGTGTGGTCAATGCAGACTTGACAATACCTTGCAATCGGTGTCTGTTTGGTGTTCGATCTTCTTAACACCTCCTGTATTATAGCCAAACAGAGTAATTCCTATTCTTTTTCTTTCATCCAGTGTGCGAACCCATTATTACACAACCCGCGGCAGCATCCGCAGACACCCAGTGTGAGGAGCTCATTAGCACAGCTACCAACCGCCCCCCCCCTCACTGCCGCTTGCTTTTGTTTAACTCCGCCAGGTGGGCATGGGTCGGAACAACACGCTGTACGCCCTGGAGGACGGCGTTGTGCGGTTCACCAAGGAGGTGTACGTCCCTCCTCCGCGGAGCAGGGAGGCCTTCCAGGTGGGAGATTCCCGCTCGCCTCCCAATCGCTTTGGCCGTGCGAGGCCCCGCTGACATTCACCGTCTGTCTTGTCGGTCTCCGCTGTGAGCGACACCTCGGTGTCTGGAAGGCAGACTACCTCCGATTGGCGCGGTTGGCTACGTACAATGCAAATTCAGATTCCAAAGAACACAGGATGAGATGTTACTATCCTTTGTGCAAGCACTTCCAAGAGTTCATGAACAGTGAGCCTGGTGAAATTTGGGGAGCGCATCGTCAGTAGTGAACCTTTGGTTCCTAGGGTGTTTCGGCCTTTCATACTATACACCCTCCCCAAAGGCGGCCAGCGACAGGGTGATCAATCCTACGCTTGCGTCCCATTCCCAATTAGTCATAGGAGTTGCCTTGTTGTTGATAGCCAACATGCAAAAGAAGTTGGACATACGTACGTACGTCTGGAGGGAGACATCTCCAGCTACGGGCGCTTTCTGACATATTGCACTTTTAATCGCGGTAAAAAAAACGCGTGTGAAATCTCACCGTCGTATAATCTCATTGTGCTTCCGAAATTCCCATTCTATTTCTTCCTTGAGTCGAGTGCCAGAAAGGGTTTTGTAAAGTGTAGAAAAATTTGGTAAACGTACGAATGATATCCTTATGTATGTTGAACTTCCTTCGTGCCGTACGTAGCCAACCGTGTTCAATTGTAGGTGCAGAAACTGTGCTAGTCGGAGGTTGTTGGTGGGGGGTGGGGTGGATAGAATTGAATTCCGCGATCGTGAAAACGCGACCGCGTCTCGAGACGTGATCCCCTCCCGCGTAAAACCCGTGTGCCGCCTCTTGCAGGTGGTGTGCAAGCTGCCGCGAGGCGCCATGCTCTACAAGACGTTCATCAACGTCATCCCTCCTCACCAGGAGGGGCGCTTCGTCCTCAAGGAAATGATGTGAGCGGCGGTGCGTCACGCCACTCTTCAGTGGCAGACCTCTCGCGTGAGCCTCAAGCCCACGGACTCGCTGCCTGGGGCTGGGGAATGTGTGACCGAGTGGGATCTTGCGTTTTTTCGGTAAAGTCACGTAGGTAAAAAGAAAGAAAAAAAAAGAAAAAAAAAATAATATTTTTAAAAATAATAATAGAAATAAAATAGTAACATTCTTTTTATTAGTTTTTATTATTTATTTTAATTTTTACCTACGTGACTTTACCGAAAAAACCTAAGAGTATGATTCCTTGCAGTCACGAAAGCTTCAAATCTAGAATTGGGATCTTGCGCGCTGCGAGAGGCACAACTCTGGCTGTCGCCTGATGATGCCGCTTGTTGTAATTACCGGCGAAACGTCACGGCACTCCAATTGTAAATGTTGTGGTGGGATTACTCTCCAACACAACCGGTGTGCTGTACTAGTAACGAATTGGCACGTTTTGTCTACGTGACAAACCTTACTAATTGGCTGTGGCGGGTGGTGGCGGTTTGAACGACACATTCATATTTACGCGATCTAACCCAAAAACCTCCGTTATGAATGCGAGAGGAAGTTTCGTCGTCCTGTGTCACACAAGGGTGCACTTGAGCTCCCCTTTTTGCGGTTGACGCTTTAATAAAAAAAAATGAAACCCACACTGCATTCTCGACTGCCTGATTTAGCTGTTCTGCTGCTGCGGTGGGTGTTGCTGCTGCTGTGATTTGGTGGCGAAAGTTTGTGAAACGTGTGGGGCAAATGCAACACTTTGGGTTAGATTGTGTAAATATAAATGTGTTGTTAACCCAACAACACCTGTAAACAAAACGAGCCAATTAGTTACTAGTTCAGCACACCGGTGTGTTGAAAGTAAACACAAGACATTTACAATTTGAGTACGACATTTCGCTGGTAATTACAACCAGCTTCATCGGGCGGTTTTTTTTTATTCACTGACAACACATCGGGTGTGCTAAATTAGTAACTATAATCGGCACGTTTCGTTTACGTGACAAACCTTACTAATTCGCTGTGCTGAGTGATGGTGGGTTAACGACACATTTATATTTACGCGATCTAACCCAGATAACCTTTATTACGTGTCGGGCCAAGCAGGCTTTGAACCTGGATAATGCTTACAAAAGCAATCGCCACGCACAGGGCGGGCGGTGGTGGCTACGCACGCCTGTTTATCAGAGGTCGCAATCGGGTACCCGATACCCGTATCCTACCCGATACCCAGCTACCCGTACCCGGCTGGGTACGGGTAGCCGTTTGCGACCCTGGTGCGGCCGTGTATGGGTACGGGTAGGCCGTGAGTCACTGGTGAGTCACCGTTTGTCACTCATTTCCCAACGTCTTTTCTCACAATTCAAGTTCCTAGAATCAACCCACCCGCGCCTGCAACATGGCTTCATCCCAGAGGTCGCAATCGGGTACCCGATACCTGGCCGGGACGGGTAGCTGGGTATCGGGTAGGGTACGGGCACCTGTTTGCGACCCTGGTGCGGCCGGGTAAGGGTAAGGAATCAAAACCCGTTTGCGACCTCTGCTGTTTATCCAGCACTGGAGGCTAGGATTGATGAATCTGGCACATGTTTCGTAACTCCCTTCTCCTGGTCTAACAGGGGGGGTAGGGCATTTACGGGTGATTTGGTCACGCAGTAAGTGGATTCTATTCTTGCGTATGGCAATTTGTTCAGGAGCTAGACTCCATTGTTGAGGTCTACTAGCCACGACGAGAGGCTTTCAGGAGAGAAGAGAATTGTGTCGTTTTCCTCTTCCTCCGTAGAAAGAGCACAAATCACGGTGGTTTACGATATGGTCCACAGTTTTGGGTTGCATGTCCATAATCGCACTACTGTGGCTGCCCTTTATTGCATCTCTAATGGTCTCTATCTCTGCCCATGAGTTTGAATTGTATGGCCACAATTGCACTGCTGTTGCCTGTGTCTTTAATTTACTCATTTTCGTAGGCGTTGTGCACATCGGCCTGTTGATGTCCTGATGCGGTTGATGGTTACACCACTGGTGTCTTCGAGGAAGAATGTAAAAGCCAGGAGATGTGCAATGATGTTTGGGTCTCGAAGTGAATGAATAAGTGAACGAATTAAGGAGGGAATGTGGGAGAGATGATACAACACAAAAATCAGGGGCCAGAGTCCGAAATAAAACTGCTTAAATGCAAGGAAGCAGTTTTACGTACACTTCGAAATCGCGTGTAAGCATTTTGCTGTGCACGTCGCACAAAATACAGTGGTTGCTAGGGATTGCGTCATCACTTGCGGAACACCGACCAATCGGCTTCCAGGGAAATAATCCTGGTTCAACATGGTTGCCGATATACAACATGGCCCCCGTGACACCATGGCTTTGGGATGAGGTAAGTTGTATATTTGTTATAAATATTTTTTTGGGTTTTGAAGTAATGTGAGTGTGTGATGTATGAATTTATGTGTGAGAGCGCGTGTATGTAAGTGTGGGGAGCGGTAGCGTCGTAGTATGAACCCGACATCCCAAGTTCGATTTCCGCTCACGGCCAACACCAGTGACAATTATCTGAACCGGTCCTGGGCCTCCCATAAGTCGACTCAGCCTCAAATGAGGACCCAGTGCGGTGTGTAAACATCGCCAAAGGTGGCTGGGCGTGGTGCTACTCGCTAACAGCACTTGCCCCAAGAGGCTGTACGAGGAAGATCGTTGTCTTTATGTAGTACAGGGACTCTACTTACGAACGAGTTCTGTTCCAGAGGTTCGTTAAGTCGATTTGTTCTTCAGGTCAACTTTACTCCTGTCGTTTCTAAACATGTTGTGTGGCATGTACACTAAACATGGGGAGTGGCTTTAAAAGTAGCATAATCTCCTGTAGATGTAGATGCCACTGGTTATTCACGTTCTGCAGATGTAGATGCCACTGGTTCTTCACGTTCTGCAAATGTAGATGCCACTGGTTCTTCACGTTCTGCAGATGTAGATGCCACTGGTTCTTCACGTTCTGCAGATGTAAATGCCACTGGTTCTTCACGTTCTGCAGATGTAGATGCCACTGGTTCTTCACGTTCTGCAGATGTAGATGCCACTGGTTCTTCACGTTCTGCAGATGTAGATGCCACTGGTTCTTCACGTTCTGCAGATGTAGATGTCACTGGTTCTTCACGTTCTGTAGATGTAGATGGCACTGGTTCTTCACGTTCTGCAGACGTAGATGCCACTGGTGCTTCACGTTCTGCAGATGTAGATGCCGCTGGTTCTTCACGTTCTGCAGACGTAGATGCCACTGGTTCTTCACGTTCTGCAGATGTAGATGCCGCTGGTTCTTCACGTTCTACAGATGTAGATGCCACTGGTTCTTCACGTTCTACAGATGTAAATGCCACTGGTTCTTCACGTTCTACAGATGTAGATACCACTGGTTTTTCACGTTCTGCAGATGTAGATGCCACCACTGCCGTCTATTGCACAGGTGGTTGAACAGGCAACTGGACCACACGGCACGGATTTGTTCGTGTCTATGAAAGTTCGAATGTTCATAATTAAGTCCCCTGCTACTGCATTGTCGATAACGAGTCTGTCCGCACCCACCCCTGGCAAATCCAATTGGACTCACCACAAGATGGCGGTAGACAGCGTCAAAACATCTCCCATTCAAGGGCCTCCGTATTACGCAAACAAGATAAGATTATGTTTTTTTTTAATTTCGTACCACAACGGAAACATGAGTTGGCACACGCGTGTGGTGAACAAAACGCTGCGGATAACCATGGCTGAATGTGTCCCTTCAGAATGGCCCCATTGTTGCTGTTGTTCGCCATTTTGTGTTTCCTGTCCATAACCCCTTGGAGCTTTCAGTGAAGGTTAACTTCTTACACCGAATTCTAGATTTGAAGCTTTCGTGACTGCAAGGATTCATATTATTAGGTTTTTTCGGTAAAGTCACGTAGGTAAAAAAATAAAAATTAAAAAAATTAAAATAAAAGTATAGCTGTCGTGGCTGTGACTGTTCCACCTGAAGACGGAAGCTTGTGTTGCCTCCGAAACGTCGTGATTTTTTTTATTTTACTTTTAATAATTTAAATTTTTTTACCTACGTGGCTTTACCGAAAAAAACCTAAGAATATGAAAGAACCAAAGAGTATAGGGTGTTTACTCTTTCTGGCAAATAAAACCAGGAGGTGTTGAGATGTTTAAACACCAAATATAAAAAAAAATTGCAAGGAATGGAGTCTGCGTTAACCGTACGTACGTGTGGTGAACATGCAAAGAAACGTGCAATACAGACCTTTTTGTGAGCTCAACCCATACCTGTCAACCCCTTATCAGTGCCCTACCTAATCATAGACTAATTCAGACATTATTGGTAGCCCCGTGTCCCTTATAAATCTCAAAGTTCATCCTACAAAGTCCCATCATGAAACGGCTGTTCGCCGTATGGACCTGAAAACTCACTTTCCCTGTACAACAATACGGGTCAACCGTATGGGTTGACACGTATGCAAACATAGTTCTTGAGAAATCAATGTACGGGTAATAAACAACTTTTTTTTAAACCTATTGTCCATTTTGTGAGGTATCCTAACGAACTTAAAAAAATGGACGCTCTGAACGCGTGACATCAATTGTTTGCGTTAGCTGGTTGCTCTTGGAAACCAACATTGTTTACGATCAATAAGAATATATATTCTCGGTTCTTTCGGTAAAGTCACGTAGAAGGGAAATAATAAAATAATAAAAATAAAACAATTAAATTCTCACGACGTTTCGATTGCAACACAAGCAATCATCATATGGTGTGAAAACCACAGCAAAGATCAATAAGAGTTTTTGAGAGGTATTTTACATCGTTCTCGGTCACCATATAGATTCAAACAAATTAATCGTAGTTATTTTAGAATTCACCGATGGCTCTCGTGTGTGATATAATTTCACGTTTAATAAATCACCGCACGTAACACACCTGGGACATTGCCAGGGGGTACCCCGCCAGGGGGTACCCCCTCAGGGGTCCTCTTACTCCCTCAGGGATCCGCGTACCCCCCTCGGTTGTGCGTTGGAGAGCCAAGCCACAACATTTACAATTCTATTCGTAGTGAGAGTTTTGGCTTCGTGCGGGGAAGGAATCCCCGGAGAAATCTCAGCACCGCGCTCATGGCTGTGATGCAGATGGATTCGAGAAAGCCATTCCCCAAAATCACTCCCCACTTCTCGTGTGTCGAGAGTGGATTGGGGTGTTTCATTTGTAGCTGCTAATCGTCAATGCAGCTACCTCCGGTACGGACGAATATGGTGGTGATTCGTGAGTGCGATGACAAAGGGGTGTGTATGGTGATGATCTTGTGAAATTTTTCGGCAAACTGCAATTGCAAACTGTAAAAGGCAAGGTTTATTGCTCAAAAACGACACCATCGTCAGAACAGAAAACGCATGCAGGCAGAACGCCAAAACAGACCGGATACTCTGCGTGATCCACGTTTTTGACACGTGCGCACCTTTGGTGAGCGAACACGGGGCGAGCTGCATGAAACGGTCCTCTGATTGAAAAATAAAAAAATACACTTGCATTAGTATAAAAAACAACAACACCGTCTCGTTACTGAAATAATAATAATAACGAGCCCACGTGGGCGAGCGGGTGAGCGAGCATCGACTAACCCAGGCTTTCGCGACCAATATTATTCATAATAAAGGTTTTTTGGGTTAGTGTACATGTGTAGAAACCCTCCACCACCCGACACAGCCAATTAGTAAGGGATTTGTCACTAAAACAACAACGGCAAATAGTTACTACTTCAGCTCACCGGCGTGTTGGAGAGTAAATCTCTTAACTCACCCTCCACGTGCCACGTTTAACATGAAGTTTGGCTTTATTCGCAGCACGATAGCTGTATCAAGTGAGAGAAATTCCAAGAAAACACTCCTTGTATATATATACTGGTTGAGGGTGGGAGGAGCCAAGGTAGTCCCTGAATATTCAGGGACTGAATATTCAGGGCCTACCTTGGCTCCTCCCACCCTCAACCAGTATATATACAAGGATTGTTTTCTTGGAATTTCTCTCACTTGATACAGCTATCGTGGCTGTGACGGTTCCACCTGAAGACGGAAGCTTGTGTTGCCTCCGAAACGTCGTGATTTTTTATTTTATTTTTATTTTACTTTTATTAATTTAAATGTTTTACCTACGTGACTTTACCGAAAAAAAACCTAAGAATATGAATCCTTGCAGTCACGAAAGCTTCAAATCTAGAATTTATTCGCAGTAATTGATGCTGCTGCTGCTGATGGGAGGCACGGTGTTTGTACCTCTGTGGTGACATCACAGCTATGGGTTGTTGAGCTCAATAGCCGGGTACAGCGAGGGTCCATAACACAGGTTGTTTTTTTTGGGTCAGATCACGTAAATATATAAATGTTGTGTCGTTAAACCCGCCACCACCCGATGCAGCCAACTAGTAAGGGTTGTCACACAAACAGAACGTGGCCAATTCGTCACTAGTACAGCACCACCGGTTGTATGTTGGAGAGCCAAGGCACAACATTTACAATCTTAGTACGACGTTTCGCCAGTAATTACAACCAGCTTCATCAGGCGACAGCTAGATTTGTGGACAAATTCCGCCTGTTCTGTTTACGTGACAAACCTCACTAGTTGGCTGTGTCGGGTGGTGACGGGTTTAACGACACATTTATATATTTACGCGATCTAACCCAAAACAACTGTTGGTTGCGAAATCCTACTTCGTGTTAAACTGCAGCATGGGTGGTGGGTGGGTGGAGAATGTGGCTATATGAATTTGTGGTTAATACAGTGATGGGCTGGTAAACTTTGATGAGGCGAAGCAGGCAATTTACAGAACGAGGAAGGGAGTGGCCTGCTCAGCATCCTCGGCATTTTCAAGGTCCTTGTCAGCCGAAAAGTATGGCCGGACTTCCACCACGCCCAACTAACGGGACACATACCGACCTTCCTGCAACCTAACGGGACACATTTCGGCCTTCCTATGGACTAGCGGGAGACATTTCGGCCTTCCTGCAAACTAACGGGACACATTTTGGCCTTCCTACAACCTAACAGAACACATACCGACCCTCCTACAATCTAACGCGACACATATGGGCCTTCCTGTGCACTAACGGGACACATATGGGCCTTCCTGCAATCTAAGCGGACACATCCCGGCCTTCTTGTAGCAGTGGGCAATGCAGGATGAGGTGGTCGCGTGCTCCCTGACTATGGATGGGGCTCCGTTATGAACGCCTCTGAGCTACTCCAACCCTAACCCCAACCCAAAAACCCACCTCTCTTCCCGAGACCAAAACCACAGACCAGGCTCCTCCCCCCTCGACTGGATTTTCTTCTTCCAAGGGACATTTTCTGAAACGTTAAGCTGATTATATATTTTGATGACAAATTGTGGAGTTTATTTACGTGCGCTTGTTCACGACTGCCATTCGTTTACAAAAAAAAAACTTTCATATTCTTACGGATTAAATGAGTAACGAGCAGACCAGCACATAGAAACGTTAACATTTGCACGCCTGAACTCTGCCTCTAAGCACTACACTTGCGTGGAATTCCCATTAAATGTAAACGCGCTATATTTTGTTTTAATTCAAGAGAAACGTATTCGTTCAACGGAGGCGGCTTGAACGGAGACCCCTGCATCACCACCACACCCAGCCGTGACGACATTTGCCCAAGAGGCTCCCTTGGCTCCAACAGCTGGTTTCCATCTTCCATATTTGCCACCACCCCCCCACCACCACCAAAACCACTTCCAATCCTGACCTCGGACTCCTACCACACCCAGCCCCTCCAGCCCGCCCACCCCATCCCACCCTGCCACCCTCTCCCCTCCATCAGGAGCGGCTGATGATGACCAGGCGGCTTGAGTAGACCATATCGGCCACGTAGGCCAGCAGGTTCACGTAGGTGAACACAGTCACCGCCAGCTGCATGTCCCAGTCGCAGCCGCCCACGAATCGGCAGTCGGGCGTGCGGCGAGGGTGGCCGTCTTTGTCGGAGAAGCAGTAGACGGGCCACAGCACCGCGGCCGTCACGTAACCCAGCACGGCTACAAAGCCACACAGGGCCAGGAAGCGGTCGAAGGGCAGGCAGAGTCGGCCCGTGCTCTGGCACACGGTGAGCAGGATGACGACCGCCACCAGCACGAAGCAGACGCAGTACACGGCCAGGCACCACTGCAGCGCCGCGTAGCGTGAGTACAGCCCCGGACGATCTGCCAGCACCACGAAGATGAGGCACGCCACGAACGCCTCCAGCACCTGGGGGCGCGAAATGCGTGCGCGGTGAGCGGAGTGCGTAACGAGGCAACGTGAACACGACGTCTGGGGCACAGGACTGAGATCCTTCCTGGCCCCGACGCGTTCTGCGCGTGAACGCCGTTTTTGCTGTGGCCGACACAAAGCTCCCATTGATTGGGGGGCCAGGAGAAGTCCCGTAATAAATTTAACGCAACAGGCTGACCCGTTTATGGCTTTGGGCCCTGCTCCACCCACACCACCACCACCCCCACCACCGCCTCCCACCCCAGAGCTGTGTGAGCATAAAACTGTTTCTGTTGTTCGCTGGAATGCCAGACGTGGCGGCCGCGCAGGCTGCAAAACCCAGGTTTCAATCCGGTCCCGGTGATTTAAAAACCCGATATTTAAAATCTCCAGCCCGATGGTTAAAATCTCTCGCCTGGATTTAAACAGAAAAAAAAGTCAAGTTTCACATTGTCAAATCTGACCGTTGGGATTTTAGCCCACCAATGAGTGTTTAAAACGCATCGGTATCTTAAATCCACCTTTTGATTATCTGTCATTGGGATAGCCGTGGCCACGAGTGGCACGTGCCACTTTCTCCAGTCAATCCACACGACCTGCAAAATATTCCTTAAGAATTCGCTCTCTGGGCGTGGCAGTGCGAGATGCCTTGAGATCAAGCAGCCTTCGTGCCGCATCCAGTCCACCCCCTCGCCATCGCCGCGACGACCAGTCCCGGCACCACCAACTCTACACAGCGACCCAGACAAGCAATTCGGCGCAATTCTACCACGCGTGCGCGTGGCGTTTCCGCCGGGGGGGGGGGTACCTTGAGCAAGCCGGGCACGCTGGCCATGTAGCCCGTGACCTCCCCGGGGCGTGCCCGCGTCAGGGCCACCTCTGCGGCGTAGGCGAGGAACGCGAGGCACGAGAAGACGGTCGCCACGATGGTGAAGGTGCGCTGCTCGCAGTTGCCGCACGAGATCCTGCGCAGCCGGTAGACGGGATGCAGCACGGAGGCGGACAGCAGCAGCAGCGCGGCCAGCATGGCGTACGTGACCGTCAGGTTCTGCCAGGAGATCTGCGCGCAGCTTCGCTGGTCGAACAGCTCGAGGAGAAGCATAAAGAGGGAGCAGGCGAAGCATGCGCACCAGGCGAACATGCAGAAGTCGCCGTACGAGTGCGCCTTGCCTCCGCTGTGCGCCACGAGGCTGAATGCGACGCAGGTGAAAGCCACCTGGAGCACGCGCACGACGCCCAGGCGCGACGTCACCGCCTGCGAGTTCACGACCACCTGGGGCATGGTGGCGAGGGGCGAGAGAGCGAGTGAAGGGAGAGAAGAAGCGACGAGCAGATCGAGTGGAGGGGTCCGTGGGACGAAGAAGAACGGAGCTCGAGAGGAGGAGGAAGAGGAGGTGGAGCTGCTGCTGCGTGTGGTGATCTGACGCACAGGCTGGATATTTTACGCGCCTCGAACCCAACAAAAAAAAACACAGAGCTTTGTTGGAGAGGGAGGGAGAGAAAACAGTTTCTCCGGAAAGGAGGGGAGGAGCAAGGCGTGAGGCCACCGCAGGGCAACGTTGTGTGGAGTTCTCTGCGTAACGGCACCCCCCCCCCTCCACGCCACCACCACATCACCACCAAACCCTCTCGTCCCTAGAAACGTAACGGTGTAGCTGTGCAGAATGTCACACTCTGCGTAACGGCAACCCACCCCCACGCCACCACCACATCACCACCAAACCCTCTCGCCCCTAGAAACGTAACGGTGTAGCTGTGCAGAATGTCACACTCTGCGTAACGGCACCCACCCCCTCGCCTCCACACCACCACCACCACCACATCACTACCACCAAACCCTCTCGCCCCTAGAAACGTAACGGTGTAGCTGTGCAGAATGTCACACGCGTGGGAGGGCATATGCCTCGTTTCACCACTTCACGACCCAAGGGTGTGGTGCGTGTGTGTGTCTGTGTGGGGAGCGGTGGTGCAGCGGTTAGCGCTACGCTGCGCTACGAACCTGGCGAGCCGAATTCGATTCCTGCTCGAGGCCGACACCGGTGACAATTATCTGGGCCTCCCCTAGGTCGACTCAGCCTCAAATGAGTGCCTAGTGCGGTGTCCGTGCGTGTGTTTTCTGTGTGGGGAGCGGTGGTGCAGCGGTTAGCGCTACGCTGCGCTACGAACCCGGCCACCCGAGTTCGATTCCCGCTCACGGCCGTGACGATTATCTGAACCGGTCCTGGAGCTCCCCTGGGTCGACTCAGCCTCAAATGAGTACCTGGTGCGGTGCGTAAAAACATCGCTACTGGGGAGACAAAGGCGGCCGGGCGTGGTGCTGGCCACCCACCCCCTCATGTGCCGTGTCGGTCTTCGTAGGTTGCTACTCGCTAACAGCACTTGCCCCTACAGTCTGTTGAGGGTCTAACACGTAGGCTTTCGCGACCAATATCATCCATAATGGAGGTTTTGTTTGGGTTAGATCGCGTAAATATATAAATGTTGTGTCGTTAAAACCCGCCACCACCCGACACAGCCAACTAGTGAGGGTTGTCACGTAAACAGAACGTGGCCAATTCGTCACTAGTACAGCACTGGTGTATAGTGTAGTGTATAGTATAGTGTAGTGTACTAGTACAGCACTAGTGTGTAGTGTAGTGTATAGTAGTGTAGTGCATAGTGTAGTGTATCGTGTCGTGTATAGTGTAGTGTATAATGTAGTGTATAGTGTATAGTAGTGTATAGTGTAGTGTATAGTGTAGGGTATAGTGTAGTATAATACTACAGCACTAGTGTAGTGTATAGTGTAGTATACTAGTACAGCACTAGTGTGTAGTATAGTGTATAGTGTAGTGTATAGTGTAGTGTAAAGTGTGGTATACTAGTATAGCACTAGCGTATAGTGTAGTGTATAGTGTAGTGTATAGTGTAGTATACGAGTACAGCACTAGTGTAGTGTATAGTGTAGTGTAGTATACTAGTACAGCACTAGTGTATAGTGTAGTGTATAGTGTAGTGTATAGTATGTAGTGTATAGTGTAGTATACTAGTATAGCACTAGTGTATAGTGTAGTGTATAGTGTAGTATACTAGTACAGCACACCGGTGTGTTAGAGAGCCAAGCCACAACATTTACAATCTGAGTACGACGTTAAAGCCCGTACGGGGCGGAGGGATCTTTGTCTTTGTGGCTCTGCCCGTCTCTCCCAAGGCTCAAACGTGGCGCCAGGGATTTCTCGGTAATTTTGTGTAAAAAAAAATTGCAATTGCAAGAGGAAACTCCCGCTAAATTGTGTGGTGGGATTTTTTTTATTTCTCTGCGCCCGCCAAAAGCCGCAATGTGCTCGCGGTTGTCCCAGTGAGGACACTTTCTAAAAATATTCACACAGCACAGAGAGCCACACCCAAGGACATTTTTTTGACCACAATAAATGGGGGGGGGGGGGCGGGGGATGAATTAATTTGGGTTGTATGGCGTTCGCAAAAAGAAATAGGTCACAATTAAATTTCGATTTAAAGCTTTCGTGACTGCAGGGATTCATCTTCTTGGTTCTTTCGGTAAAGTCACGTAGAATAGAAATAATAAAATAATAAATAAAACATAATAAAATACAATTCTCACGACGTTTCGGCCACAACGCAAGCAGCCGTCCTCAGGTGAAGAACAGGTCCGTGGACTGTCAGCCCGGAAAGACAGCGTCTGTCTTTCCGACAGACCTGGTCTTCACCTGAGGACGGCTGCTTGCGTTGTGGCCGAAACGTCGTGATAATTGTATTTTATTATGTTTTATTTTTATTATTTCCCTTCTACGTGACTTTATAATAGGGGTTTCTCACCTTTTTTCTGGCAACAAAACTGAAACCTTTTTACGAGGATTCATGTAACTGCATTAACCACAATACTTGCAGTCAAAATGCAAACAAAAACACACTCTGATAATATATGCATTGTCCTTGAAACTGATTGGTCCACACCAAGGGATGTTAAGGATACAATTGTACCCTGAACGTTTTAAGCCATCCAACCAACGGGCACGTGGGGTTGCGAGCTGGGTTGGCGTCTGCGTGTCCCGCCAGAGTACACGTGTTGTATCGGGCATCCATTGGTGATGAACGCCTTAGGGTTTGCACCAAATGGAGTGCCATCATTCATGGAGGACAGACCACCCTCCATGCACCTTTGACTGGACACGGCTACCGAGATCGGTCCACCGCCGCTGTCGTCTGGGGCAGCACAGAGAACCAGAGAACCGTCGCTTCGTCGGGTCTTCTTCAATAGAGTTCTCGTTTGGGAATCCACTTACCCCCCCCCCCACAATCAGCCACGTGTCGCACCACGGGGTCAACAAAGTTGCCTCTCTGGGGTCAACAAAGTTGCGTCTCTGGGGTCGACAAAGTTGCGTCTCTGGGGTCAACAAAGTTGCCTCTCTGGGGTCAACAAAGTTGCCTCTCTGGGGTCAACAAGTTGCCTCTCTGGGGTCAACAAAGTTGCCTCTCTGGGGTCAACAAAGTTGCCTCTCTGGGGTCAACAAAGTCGCCTCTGTGGGGTCAACAAATTTGCCTCTTTGGGGTCAACAAAGTTGCCTCCCTGGGGTCGACAAAGTTGCCCTTCTGGGGTCAACAAAGTTGCCTCTCTGGGGTCAACAAAGTTGCCTCTTTGAGGTCAACAAAGTTGCCTCTTTGAGGTCAACAAAGTTGCCTCCCTGGGGTCAACAAGTTGCCTCTCTGGGGTCAACAAAGTTGCCTCTCTGGGGTCAACAAAGTTGCCTCTTTGAGGTCAACAAAGTTGCCTCTTTGAGGTCAACAAAGTTGCCTCCCTGGGGTCAACAAGTTGCCTCTCTGGGGTCAACAAAGTTGCCTCTCTGGGGTCGACAAAGTTGCCTCTGTGCGGTGTGGGGATCACGAGACCGGCTCGCCCAGGGGGAGCTGCAGCAGCAGAAATTAATGAATGCCTCTCACTGTTGCGAGCGCTCTCTGCTCGTTGTTATTATTATTACTGCTACACGTACACACATACGCGCCATTGTGGCTTTTACTGCGGGTTTCTCTCCTTCTTCTTCTTCCATGAAACACTTTGACGGCAGTGCTCGCTTGTGACCGCAAGAGCAGAGAGGTCATTCCTGGTCACAGTGGTGGTGATGGTGCTGGTGGTGGTGCTGGTGGTGCTGGTGGTGCTGGTGGTGGTGGTGGTGCTTCTGGTGATGATGGTGTTGGTGGTGGTGGCCACTGCCCCTGTTAGCAGCACGGGCGCCGCTGTGGCTATGAGATGTTAACTACCTCGCCTGGTATACAGGAGGTCGTGGGTTCGATCCCGACCCTGACGTTACCTGCTGCTGTATATTTGGAGTTTGCGTGTCTCCCCCTCTCGTCATCATCATCACGGTGGCTAGGAGATGTTAACTACCTCGCCTGATATGCAAGAGGTCTTGGGTTCGGTCCCAACCCTGACGCCTGCTGTATATTTGGAGTTTGCGTGTCTCTCTCTCTCATTATCATGACGGTGGCTATTAGATGTTAACTACCTCGCCTAGTATACAGGAGGTCGTGGGTTCGATCCCGACCCTGACGCCTGCTGCTGTATATTTGGAGTTTGCGTGTCTCTCTCGTTATCACCACGGTGGCTAGGAGATGTTAACTACCTCGCCTGGTGTACAGGAGGTCGTGGGTTCGGTCCCGACCCTGACGCCTGCTGCTGCTGTATATTTGGAGTTTGCGTGTCTCTCTTCTCCCCGTGGTCGCGTGGATTTTTCTCCGGGTCCTCCGGGATTTCCCCTCCACATTTAGAACCACGCGTTCAGAGTATCTGTCTGCTATAAATGTCCCACGTGATGATAGGCCACTTGGTTGAGCGACCATTTGTGATCGCCACGTAGCCCAGTTAAAATATAAAAATAAAACTGAACTATTTCATTTCAAAGAAAAATCGTGTTTTAGTTTGTCAATCGAGTAGCGGTGAGGCACCCCGGGAGTGGGGTCAAGGGTCGAGGTAGGGTCAGTGGGAAGGCAGTGGCCAGTGTCTGCCCTGCTATTTGGTAATCGGTAAGGGTCGAGCGAAGTGCCAAGGTTTAGTTGACTCGTTGGTTCGGGTTTAGAGCGTGGTTCGCATTGGTTGAGTTGTTAGAGTCAACTGGAGTGCAATATTTCGATTTAAAGCTTTCGTGACTGCAGGGATTCATCTTCTTGGTTCTTTCGGTAAAGTCACGTAGAAGGGAAATAATAAAATAATAAAAATAAAACATAATAAAATACAATTCTCACTGAGAATTGAGTGAGAATTGTATTTAAGTTTTATTTTCTCACTGAATTCTCAGTGAGTAATAAAAATAAAACTTAATAAAATACAATTCTCACTGAGAATTAGAAATAAAACGTAATAAAATACAATTCTCACTGAGAATTCAGTGAGAATTGTATTTAAGTTTTATTTTCTCACTGAATTCTCAGTGAGTAATAAAAATAAAACTTAATAAAATACAATTCTCACTGAATTCTCAGTGAAAATTGTATTTTATTATGTTTTATTTGTATTATTTTATTATTTTCCTTCTACGTGACTTTACCGAAAGAACCAAGAAGATGGAGTACAATAGTCTGGCTGGCTAGTTGGCCAGGGTTTGAGGCAGCAGTGACTTGTACCCTCAGAACCAACACTCCCCCACCCCCCCCATCGTCTTCTCTCCCATCTGTTTCAAATCATCATTCCCCACTCATCACCCACCCACCCACCCAGGCCCACGCACTCCGCGGGTCTCCTCGGAGTTCCACCCCCTCCACCACCCTCGCTCCTTCGGCTTCCCCCAAAACTCCAGGATCAGCGTCACATTTTCCGCTCTCTGGAAAGCTCAGCTTGTGAGCGATGGTGGGGTGTGTGTGTGTGGTGTGTGGCGGGTGGTGGTGGTGGGGTGAGTGGGTGTGTGTGTGTGGTGTGTGGCGGGTGGTGGTGGTGGGGTGAGTGGGTGTGTGTGTGTGGTGTGTGGCGGGTGGTGGTGGGGTGAGTGTGTGTGTGGTGTGTGGCGGGTGGTGGTGTGGGGTGAGTGGTGTGTGTGTGTGGTGTGGCGGTGGTGGTGGTGGGGTGAGTGGGTGTGTGTGTGTGGTGTGTGGCGGGTGGTGGTGGTGGGGTGAGTGGGTGTGTGTGTGTGGTGTGTGGCGGGTGGTGGTGGTGGGGTGAGTGTGTGTGTGGTGTGTGGCGGGTGGTGGTGGTGGGGTGAGTGGGTGTGTGTGTGTGGTGTGTGGCGGGTGGTGGTGGTGGGGTGAGTGGGTGTGTGTGTGTGGTGTGTGGCGGGTGGTGGTGGTGGGGTGAGTGGGTGTGTGTGTGTGGTGTGTGGCGGGTGGTGGTGGTGGGGTGAGTGGGTGTGTGTGTGTGGTGTGTGGCGGGTGGTGGTGGTGGGGTGAGTGGGTGTGTGTGTGTGGTGTGTGGCGGGTGGTGGTGGTGGGGTGAGTGTGTGTGTGGTGTGTGGCGGGTGGTGGTGGTGGGGTGAGTGGTGTGTGTGTGTGGTGTGTGGCGGGTGGTGGTGGTGGGGTGAGTGGGTGTGTGTGTGTGGTGTGTGGCGGGTGGTGGTGGTGGGGTGAGTGGGTGTGTGTGTGTGGTGTGTGGCGGGTGGTGGTGGTGGGGTGAGTGGGTGTGTGTGTGGTGTGTGGCGGGTGGTGGTGGTGGTGGGGTGAGTGGGTGTGTGTGTGTGGTGTGTGGCGGGTGGTGGTGGTGGGGTGAGTGGGTGTGTGTGTGTGGTGTGTGGCGGGTGGTGGTGGTGGGGTGAGTGGGTGTGTGTGTGTGGTGTGTGGCGGGTGGTGGTGGTGGGGTGAGTGGGTGAGTGTGTGGCGGGTGGTGGTGGTGGAGGAGGAGGGGGAGGAACAATAGAGCAAAGGACGATTGCTGCACGTGTTACAGCCACTTGTTTTGTTCGATCCACTGCTGGGTGAATGCCTCGGGTTCCACGTCGTGTGCATTGGGTTCCATTCCTGACTCGGGTGCCTCTTGCAGGGATATCCTCCAAGGTTTTCCGGTTTCTTCCCAGAGTTAAAAAAGAACCCAAACAGTGAAACTGGTTTCGATTTAAAGCTTTCGTGACTGCAGGGATTCATCTTCTTGGTTCTTTCGGTAAAGTCATGTAGAAGGGAAATAATAAAATAATACAAATAAAACATTATACAATTATTTTAAAGCTTTCGTGACTGCAGGGATTCATCTTCTTGGTTCTTTCGGTAAAGTCACGTAGAAGGGAAATAATACAATAATAAAAATAAAACATTATACAATTATTTTAAAGCTTTCGTGACTGCAGGGATTCATCTTCTTGGTTCTTTCGGTAAAGTCACGTAGAAGGGAAATAATACAATAATAAAAATAAAACATTATACAATTATTTTAAAGCTTTCGTGACTGCAGGGATTCATCTTCTTGGTTCTTTCGGTAAAGTCACGTAGAAGGGAAATAATACAATAATAAAAATAAAACATTATACAATTATTTTAAAGCTTTCGTGACTGCAGGGATTCATCTTCTTGGTTCTTTCGGTAAAGTCACGTAGAAGGGAAATAATACAATAATAAAAATAAAACATTATACAATTATTTTAAAGCTTTCGTGACTGCAGGGATTCATCTTCTTGGTTCTTTCGGTAAAGTCACGTAGAAGGGAAATAATACAATAATAAAAATAAAATATAATAAAATTATTTTAAAGCTTTCGTGACTGCAGGGATTCATCTTCTTGGTTCTTTCGGTAAAGTCACGTAGAAGGGAAATAATACAATAATAAAAATAAAACATTATACAATTATTTTAAAGCTTTCGTGACTGCAGGGATTCATCTTCTTGGTTCTTTCGGTAAAGTCACGTAGAAGGGAAATAATACAATAATAAAAATAAAACATAATAAAATTATTTTAAAGCTTTCGTGACTGCAGGGATTCATCTTCTTGGTTCTTTCGGTAAAGTCACGTAGAATGGAAATAATAAAATAAAAACATTATTAAATAATTCTCACGACGTTTCGGCCACAACGCAAGCAGCCGTCCTCATTCAGACGCCCTGTTCTTCACCTGAGGACGGCTGCTTGCATTGTGGCCGAAACGTCGTGAAAATTGTATTTTATTATTTATTATTTTATTATTTCCCTTGTACGTGACTTTACCGAAAGAACCAAGAAGAAAAAGTGCAACTGGTATTGACCACATCCTGCCACGCTGTTGAGCAATGGCCCGCAAACGAATCAACTCGGATCACAGCGGCAGCAGCGGCAGCAGCAGCAACGCGCACGGCTGCGAAAGAAACTTGGCAGGACGTCTCCTGAAATAAAACAATTCCTCGGAGGCTCGGCGAAGGCTGTCTCCTGGGTAAACAAAGCACAACAATAATCATTGTCTTCTTCTACTTCTTCTTCCGTAACGGCTGGTGATGTAGATCGGTGCCGGATGAAGCTGGTGCGGGATCTGTAGCAGGATGTTATAAAGGGGCCCTAAAATAAAATAAAAACACGTGAATATTCAAACACACATTTGTAACTTGCACAGTAAAGTAATTGTGTATTTTTTAATTTGCTACACAGCCGGATAATACGACAAATCGCTAACCTTAAACACCCGGTCGTTCATAACAGTTGAAGGCGGTATAGTACTATAGTAATAGAGCAAGTGCAGAATCACTGAACCGGAGTTGATAGCTTGAAAGCATTTACTGGTAGGAACCTCCTGGTTCCACCAGCCCACAGGGAATTATTGTGTCCAACCGTCCGTCGTGCATCCAAAAATGGGAGGGGTGGGGCTGGGTGGAGAGGGGAGGGTGGGGAGGGGCTGGGTGGGGAGATGCTGGTCACCCCGTGGTGCCCTTATAAAACTCAACGTTTAACCTACTCACGCCGGCTTGTGCCCGCCCTCAGTCGGGCATATTTGCGGAATACACCACGCCGCCGTTGACCCTGGCCATTGACCGAGCAACCCAACGTTCCTACCAGCTCCCTCCGCAGGAATGTTTGTTGCAGGATGCCAGCCGCATCGGTGTGGAAGAGTAGGCCAACATCGAGAGGGGGGGGGGGGGGTTCTCTTAGAGCCCACCTCGAGAAGTGGTTGCCCTTCCACCAGCAATGACGCGAGTGAGCAAATGCAGGGCAGCTCCTTTGCCTCTCAGATATCCAGTGCAGTGTCCACACGGAGGACACTCCGCAACGAGACATTTCCCGGAGAGAAGATCTGTGTCGTAAACAGAAATGTTTATTGAAACATCCAGCAACGTCATGCGTCGTTACGCTACATCAACAACAACAACAACCACAGACACCCGACGGCTTTGAATTCACAGTCAGTTGTTTTAAAAATGTATTTGGACCAGTGTGGGTGGGCCTTTTCAGCCGCTCCGCGGTGTGTGTGTGGAAGAGCCCAGCACACGTGCCGTTCCCTAAACGTCGCCTTCATTCGCAGGACTTCGAGGCGCTTACCAGAGGTCACAACCGGGTACCCGATACCCGTACCCTACACGATACCCGGCTACCCGTACCCGGCCGGGTACGGGTAGGCCGTGAGTCACCGGTGAGTAACCGTTTGTCACTCATTTCGGGTAGGGTACCGGTAGCGTACGGGTAGCCGTTTGCGACCCTGGTGCGGCCGGGTACGGGTACAGGTAAGGAATCAAAACCCGTTTGCGACCTCTGGCGCTTACACCATCGGCAGTCTCCAGGCAGGGGCTATCCCCACCGACCGCTCCAGAACCTTCTATCCTCTATCGCAACACAAACCAACAACTCCCTCCACGAAAACAAATCCCATTTGAATCATCCCCAAGCCAAACCCACGCTTAGCTGGCCAGACCATCAATCGTCAGTGGCTGTTCCGCCAGAATCAAATCAGGATCGCCCTAGAAGAGCAATTACCGAGCGGGTAATAGGCCGATCTGTATCACGTGATCGTCTTCGATGTCCTTTACAGATGCACGGACCATGAACACGAAACGCGATTCTCGCAACGTACACAACCTCTACGCTATTCCGGTCAGACAAACGGAACGACGTGGACTGCCAAGCTGATTGCCGGGTGTCCCAGTTCCCAGTGCACGTGACCCCAGCCCTCTCGAGCCTGCCCTCTTGTCGGTCAAAGCTCCCACGTGTCAAATGATGCCGGGCCACGTCAGTCCGTCAGTCATGCGACGAGACTTGGGATTCTCCTGCAAGTCGAGGCTCCAAACAGGATGCGCGGCCCCTTCCGTACGCACGCGGGCGTCGTCCGCGAGCCTCTTGGAGCCCGATGGTAATGATCGCGATGACCGCGATGACTGCGATGACCGCGATGATCGTGATACCCAAGTCTCGTCGAGGATCGGTCTTATCCCCCCGTCGATGACATCATCCCGTTCAAGACGTTGTCCCGCCCGCGCGGCCACATCGCAAGAACGGAGGACGGCTCTCCCGCACCACCCCCGCCTTTTGTTCCTCGACGTTTCACCGTCAGGAGACTCGAGGTCACAACCGGGTACCCGATACCCGTACCCTACCCGATACCCGGCTGCGACCCTAGTGCGGCCAGGTACGGGTACGGGTAGGCCGTGAGTCACTGGTGAGTAACTATTTGTCACTCATTTCCCAATATCTTGTCTCTTCTCACAATTCAAGTTCCTAGAATCAACCCACCCACGCCTGCAACATGGCTTCATCCCAGAGGTCGCAATCGGGTACCCTACCCGTTCCCGGCCGGGTACGGGTAGGGTACCCGATCGGGTAGGGTACGGGTACCCGTTTGCGACCCTGGTGCGGCCGGGTACGGGTATGGTGACGTCACCGCCACTTAGTGGCGGTTGTTGTTGTTGTGGAGTCCCACATTCGTTGTTTTTGGTTTGTTCTTGGTTGCCCACGGCTGTGATCCAGTGTTTTAAAGGCAACGACTGTGACTTAGACCTTCCCTGAACTTCACCCGAAAACACCGCGGGCCATTTATTTTCTGGCTGTAAACGGCGCGCTTGTCTGGCCTCGTGTCCTTGACGTTTCTCTGCACGTGCCAGGGGGAGCCTCATTTCGATAAATAAATCCCCAAAGCAGCTCCCCGCAGCGGTGCAACCCGAAAAAGCATCGGGGAGAGTGAGCGAGCAGCAGCTTTCGAATATCCTGCGAAACTAAGTGATGCGCTGCGAGAAAACGTATCTAAGCAGACGTGATCATTCGGTCTCCTCGTATAAGATACACGTTTAAAAGGCGGTTGTGTGGGTCAGGGGTCAAGAGAGTCGAGCCGAGACTCACCGAGTACCTGGGCTCGAGTCCTTGTGATGGCAGCCATCACGTGGACTGAACTCCACTCCTCCTCACGGCACGCAGGGTTGGATGGACATCGAACAAAGGCGGTGGTCACCGCATCGTCGCGCGGCGCTTTCAGATGCGCTTCCGCGGCCGTCTGGAACGCTCTTCCCTTCCGATATTAGGAAACCACGGGAGCTACGCACACTTTTAAATCATCATCCAGATTGACAGTCTCATTTCTCTAGAACTGCTTTTTGTGTTTAGTTTGATGGTCGGCTACGTACGATGCCAAACAAGTTTTAACACACACACAGACTCGCACAGCGACCCAGAGTTTCTTGTCCTTCCCCCGTACCTCCGATGAGCAGGGTCGGCTACGTACGGCACGAAAGAAGTTCAACATCCCGTACGTGGCCGAGAGAGAGCGCGATTGGAATAAAACTGGGAACAATTACAAGAAGACGAAAAGCGTTGGTTCCGGAAGACCGGACCGGTCGATGGATAAAATTCATCCTTTATAATTTTACTTTTCGGGCGAGAGGGAGATTCTGTTGTTGTCCGTTGCTCCCAATACTTTGTGCTGGAGTAAACTACTGCCGCTCACTTGCACGAGCAAACCTGCTGACTGCACAACGGTGCGACGGCGACAAGCAGCGGCGGGCGCAGGTCTGCTCGGATGGTTCAAGACTACAACTAACTACTTCTTCCAGTGCATCAACAGGAGCGAGTACAAACATTTTTTGACAAAATGGTAGTAAAAAAAAAGCACGGAAAAAAAGACAGCGAAAAGAAAACTTCTTTGGCAAGAGTGATTCAGCGGGTGAGTAAATGTAACCCTTTCGCATTCCGAGACCTCTGCAAGCTGCAGGGTCGTTGTCCCGTTCATCGCCGAAGCTCGGAAAAACGTACGCGGTTTCCGTGTAAATTTTTGATTCAGAGAGGCGTAGCAGCAACAGCAGCAGCAGCGCCGTTGACTTCAAAGACGTCGTTGCTCGCCGCCCCGAACTGTAGCCACACGACCACCGCCCTCTTACGATAGCGGGCACCAAACCGCACAACACGCCCACCCGCACGGCCTTGTGGGAGCCTCGGTAAGTGACGAGTTTATCCATAAGAGGTTGTTTTTGTGAATAGAAGACAAAAAAAATATCATAACGAGCCCAAGTGGGAGAGATGGTGGGCGAGCGGATGAGCGAGCATCCCCACTGACCCACCAACACTCCAACTCCCCCCCCTCCCGCCACCCAAGTGGCTTCAGAGATGCCACGTTTGATATGAAGTTTTGCTTTATTCGCAGTAATTGATGTTGCTGCTGCTGCTGTTGGGAGGCACGGTGTGTGTAAATAGCCGAGTGCAGTTAGGGTCCATAATACAGGTCGTTGTTTTGGGGTCAGATCAAGTAAATATATAAACGTTTCGTTAAACCCGCCACCACCCTACGCTGCCAACTAGTAAGGGTTTGTGTCACGCAAACTAAACGTGCCAATTCGTCACGAGCACAGCACCACCGGTGTGTGTTGGAGAGTAAACACACACTTACAATTCGGGTACGACGTTTCGCCAGCAGTCACAACATCAGGCGACAGCCACAGTTGCGTTTACTCAACTGTGGTGGCGCGCCAATTTTATGTTGATGGGTGGAACAGGGATGTGGCGGCGGCGGGTTTGCAGATTCGAGGAACTTGCTCCGTCGTTTCAGCGGTCGTGCCGGGAGAGGGGGAGTCGAAACCTGCGACCTTCTGGATTGCAAATACAGTCTGTGAACCCGCAACACGACCGTGGCAGTAGAATGTCATAACGATGTCGTAAAAAATTCACCAAGCGTTAATAATTATGGCTTAAGTGACCATTTTACACTGGCATAGATATCTGTTAAGCCGGCCTCTATAACTGTATTTTCTTTTATAGCTGTGGCCCTGGGCTTGCTTAAACTACGCACCGATTGAAATCAATTCTCACACCCGCAATACACGCACTGTATGGCGTGTGTGTGTATTGTTGGGATCAGTAGGGGGAAGCACACTGCTCTATGAACCCGGCGACCCGAGTTCGAATCCCGCTCACGGCCAACACCAGTGAAGATTATCCGAACCGGTCCTGGGGCCTCCCCTAGGTCGACTCAGCTTCAAATGAGTCCCGGGGTGCTTTAAAAAAATTCCACTAGCGAGACAAAGGCGGCTGGGCGTGGTGCTGGCCACCCACCCCCTCGTGTGCTGTGCCGGCCTTCATAGGTGCTGCTCGCTAGCAGCACTTGCCCCAAAAGTCTCGAGGCTATACGGGGGGAAAGCTTTGTCTTTGTCTTGTTGCATTCTAATGGTGGGTCAGGAAATATCTCACCAAAGTGACGCTTTTCTCCAACCCTAGAGTTTCTGGATATTTTGACAGCCAATCATGAAACAGAGAGGTTTGCCAGTGGCAAACCGGTGAAGCCAACCGAATGCCGTTTCTTACGCTGCCAAGCGCAGTTTGCTTGACGAGCTTAGCCTCTTCATTTTAACCCGACTCCCGCTCCCCAAAATTAACCGAGACAGACTTTACACAGGAGACTGACGTGAAGACCTGCTACAGCACAACTGAGGAGAGAGAGAGAGAGAGATCTCTAGCGACTGTGCGGGTGGGGAGGCAGTGGTAACACACAAGTCAAGGCGTTGTGTGCGCCGCCCTCACCACACGTTAAAACAATCTCTAGGCATCCAGACCTCGCACACAAAAATACACGACGGGCATCCGTCACCCCCCCCCGTCACCGCCGCCGAGTTAACGGGGCGACCACTGACCGTCATGGAGATCCGTTAGTCATCGGGGTAACCATTCACCAACAGATTTCCAAGCGAGTGAACGCTCACCCCTATAGCTAGCGGATCTCTACAAGCATCACGTGACACGGAAAGCAGCCAGTCCCCATGGGCCCGGCCCGTCCCGCGGCCCGCCGAGACGCTACAGCGTGCGGCTGATGATGACCAGGCGGCTCGAGTACACCATGTCGGCCACGTAGGCCAGCAGGTTGATGTAGGTGAACACGGTGACGGCCAGCTGCATGTCCCAGTCGCAGCTGCCGACGTCGCGGCAATAGGACGAGGAGCGCCGGGGTTCGCCGTACTTGTCGGAGAAGCAGTAGACGGGCCACAGCACCGCGGCCGTCACGTAGGCAAGCACGGCCACTAGGCCGCACAGGGCCAGGAAGCGGTCGAAGGGCAGGCAGAGTCGGCCCGTGCTCTGGCACACGGTGAGCAGGATGATGACCGCCACCAGCACGAAGCAGACGCAGTACACGGCCAGGCACCACTGCAGCGCCGGGTAGCGCGAGTACAGCCCCGGACGATCTGCCAGCACCACGAAGATGAGGCACGCCACGAACGCCTCCAGCACCTGGGGGCGCGAAACGTGTGGACACACGCACGTGTGCGATTTAGCGGAGGGAGAACAAAAAAACACAATGGTTTTAACTTATCTTTGTCTTATGAACCCAGGTTTTTAATTTGTAAAAGGCTTTATTAGCCTAGGATTCAAATATGCTGGCCTCATACAACCAACGTTGACATCTTTTGAACCCAGGTTTTAAATGTTGGCTGTGGCCTCACCCAGGTTTAATATACATCACCCTTAAAAGTTCCAAGATTGAATTATGCCCCATGAATTGAGGTTTTATTTTGCTGCCTGGTATTATAAGGCCAAAATGTACATTCATGTAAGGCTTTATAAACCCAGATTTTAATTCTGGCTTCATGAACCCAGGATTAAAATCAATCTGATGTGCCTTAAAACCCCCGGGTTTTATGCATCTTATGAAACTTGCGAGCCTGAAAAAAGTATGGGTTCATATCTGCCGCCATCTAAACCCACGTTTTAAATCGACATCTAGAATTTTAAGCCCAGGTCTTGAATCTAGTTTTACGATTTTAAAGCCAGCTATTAGAACGAGTCCCTCATTTCCATCTGCTGTGGTATCTTTTTTCCATCTACCTATCGGGTCTGTGTGGCCGTGTGTGTACCTCAAGCAGTCCCAACTCTACACAGCGACCCAGACAAGCAATTCGGCGCAATTCTACCCTGCGTGCGTGTGGCGTTTCCGCCGGGGGGCACCTTGAGCAAGCCGGGCACGCTGGCCATGTAGCCGGTGACCTCCCCGGGCCGTGCCCGCGTCAGCGCCACCTCTGCGGCGTAGGCGAGGAAGGCGAGGCACGAGAAGACGGTCGCCACGATGGTGAAGGTGCGCTGCTCGCAGTTGCTGCACGAGATCTCGCGCAGCCGGTAGACGGGATGCAGCACGGAGGCGGACAGCAGCAGCAGCGCGGCCAGCATGGCGTACGTGACCGTCAGGTTCTGCCAGGAGATCTGCGCGCAGCCTCGCTGGCCCAGCAGCTCGAGGAGGAGCATGAGGAGCGAGCAGGCGAAGCAAGCGCACCAGGCGAACATGCAGAAGTCGCCGTACGAGTGCGCCTTGCCTCCGCTGTGCGCCACGAGGCTGAATGCGACGCAGGTGAAGGCGACCTGGAGCACGCGCACGACGCCCAGGCGGGACGTCACCGCCTGCGAGTTGAAGACCACGGCGGCCGGAGGCATGGTCGCCGCTTGCCCGCCGCTCCCGTTGAAGTTGTCGAACGGAAGCTGTTGCTCTCGGCAGCAGGTGGGGCCCCTGCCGTGCGTGTACGCGACCTGCTTTGCCTCTTCGCGGCGTGCGAGGACGCGGGGGATTGTGGGAGTCGGAGATCACTCGCGGGCGCGTGGGCCGTGTGTGTCCGTGGTCCGAGTAACCAGCGCCGAACACGACCGCACCCTTCCTGTGTTGCGAGGGCAGTGGAGGGAAAAAAATGCGCGCGCAGACTCAGCCGCAACTCGCAGCCACCGCCCCCGCAGACACCCACTCACTTCCACTTCTCCTCCCCACCCCCACGGACAGCGCACACACACACAGCACACGCGCACGCACACACACACACAGCACACACACACGCACAAGCCACACACACACACGCGCACACACACACACACAGCACAGCACACACACACAGCACACCCAGCACACACACGCACAAGCCACACACACACACACGCGCACACACACGCGCACACACACACGCGCACACACACACGCGCACACACGTGCACACACACACAGCACACACACACATAGCACACACACAGCACAGCACACACACACAGCACACCTAGCACACACACACAGCACACCTAGCACACACACACAGCACACCTAGCACACACACGCACAAGCCACACACACACACGCGCACACACACACGCGCGCACACACACACACACGCGCGCACACACACAGCACACGCACGGCCCCTCAATAAACAGATTAACAGGCGAATGCACTCACGCACCCACCCCCACTCCACGATTGCATTACAAAGAGACAAAGATCAGCCATGTAAGCAGCCTTGTTTACCACCGTAGCTTTGTTTACCACCGTAGCCTTGTTTACCACATAGCCTTGTTTACCACCTTGTTTACCACCGTAGCCTTGTTAGCGAGGACCTGTTAAGAAGGCCAACTTCGCCCCCACGGTGGCAACGGTTACACTCGGCACCAGGTACTCATTTGAGGCCGAGTCGATCTAGGGGAGGGCCCAGGACCGGTTGAGATAATCGTCACTTGGTGTTGGCCGTCAGCGGGAATCGAACTCGGGTGGCCAGGTTCGTAGCGGAGCGCGAACCTGGCCACTGCGCTACCGCTCCCCACCCCCTTTGACACACAAAGACAAAGATCCCCCGTATAGCCTTGACAGACTGTAGGGGCAAGTGCTGTTAGCGAGCACCTATGAAGGCCACAACGGTACACGAGGGGGTGGGTGACCAACACCACGCCCGACCGCCTTTGTCTCCCCAGTGGCGATGTTTACACACCGCACCGGGTACTCATTTGAGGCTGAGTCGACCTAGGGGAGGCCCGGGACCGGTTCAGATAATCGTCACTTGGTGTTGGCCGTCAGCGGGAATCGAACTCGGGTGGCCAGGTTCGTAGCGTAGCGCTAACCGCTACCCTACCGCTCCCCACCCTTTGACACACACACACACACTGACTCACACACCCACCCTACTACTAATACACCCCGCACGTACCAAACCACCAGCTAACACACATACCACAGCCACCCACTCACCCGTATGAATCACCCTGTCTCGACCCACCACCCTGCCAACTCGCACAAACACCACCCCCCCCACCACCCGGCCACCCCGTTAAGGCTTTAACAAGGCTGTCGAAGCATTCCTGTTTGCGAGCACCTATTATCACCGGTACGGCACACGAGGCGGGCGGGTGGGTGGCCAGCACCACGCCCAGCCGCCTTTGTCTCCCCGGTGCCGGTGTTCGCACACCGCAGCAGGTACCGATTTTTTAAGGCCGAGCCGACCTAGGGGAGGGAGGCCCAGGACCAGTTGAGATATTCGCCGTCACCGTTATTGGCCGCGAGCGGAAACTGAACTCGGGTTGCCCCATCGCAGCACGCTCAGCGCCACACCCCGTCAGCTGCAAAGACAAAGGTCCCCCGTATAGCCTTTAACAGACTGACGGCACACCAGGCGGTGGGGGGCGGTGAGCACCATGCCCGTCCGCCTTTAAGGCTGAGTCGACCTAGCGGAGCCCAGGACCGGTTCAGACAATCGCCACTTGGTGTTGACCGTCAAACGGAAATCGAACTCGTGCCACCGGCTTCGTCCGCGCAGAGTAGCGCTAACCGCGGCACCACCGCTCCCCGCTTCAACTGCACGCACGAACGCACCCACATGCCATTCTCCACGTCTGTAAACGGTACACTATCTCCCTCCTGCTCTGCCAACAATAGTCACCAAACACCCATCCCCCCCTCCCCCCCACCACGCAAGACGCATCCCTCCTCCGCACTCCCCCCCCCTACCTACTAACACACCCGGCCGCCTTTGTCTCCCCTAGTGGCAGTTGTTTTTACACACCGCACCAGGCACTCATTTGAGGTCGAGTCGACCTCGGCGAGGCCCAGGACCGGTCCAGATAATCGTCGCCGGTGTTGGCCGTGAGCGGGAATCGAACTCGGGCCGCCGGGTTCGTAGCGCTGCACCGTCAGAAAAGTATTACAATCATCCGTCACGGCCGTCACATGCGCACAGACACACACACAGACACACTTCCCTTCCCCACCCACGCCAGCCTCACTTGCTTTGCCTTATGTGGGCTTGCACGCTGGGCACACCCCCCCCCCCGCCTCTCCCCCCCCCGCAAGTGGTCTCCGCAGTGGCGAACGGGACGTATTTGGCGGCACTCAACCGGTGCAGCATTAACACACCAGTGTGTCTCGTAAGAGGGCGTTCTACAAATCTAAACTTTAACCGGCATTCGGCTTTCCGGCCGATTTCGCGGCATCGCGAAAAAACTATTTTGACGCCGCCGCCGCCACCACCAAAATCCGCGAAATTTTCTGACCGTGCTTGCGAATCACGGGAAAATTTCGTAATTATTGCAAAAAAAGTACCTTTTTGTTTTATGTATATATATACACAACTGCACACCGCCGGTGTACCGCCAATACGTTCAAATGATTAGGCGATGCTGCCGATCACATTTGCCGTGGTTGCAACACCACATGCATTAGTCTCTCGATTATCCGCGTGCGGTTATTCCGATTTGCGGGTTAACCTCGCGGCCCCTGAGATTTTGACATGAATTCATAACCCGTGGATTTTTTTTTCCCCTTAAGCCGAAATTAATCATCTAAAAACAGTTGTGTAGATTGTTGTTCTTGGAATAACAATGTACTCCGATTAAATCCACGTGATCACCTCTACAGTACAGTAGTTGCAATAGCTTTACAAAAATGGGCGGAGTTTCATTGATGTTGATTGGCGTGGCTCTGTAATAAAACAAGATCAATACCTTCTTTCCTACAAAGTTTTTTTTGTTCATTAACAAACTAAATTTTACTTCACTTAAACATCATTTGTACCCATATTGGTGGTTTTTGACACAGCGATTCCCGGGGAAAATGGATATATTTTTTAATATATCCATATAATAATATAAATAAAATGAAATAATAAATCACGACGTTTCGGAGGCAACACAAGTCTCCGTCCTCAGGTGGGACCGTCACAGTTAAAATTACTGCATCAAGTGAGGCAAAATTCCAAGAGACCAGTCCTTAAATACAAGTTAAGGGGGGAGGGGCTTATCTGAATGTGGTAACCAGGGAATGTCACGTGTTGGGGTGGTGAGCGGGGCTACAAGAGAAATTGGCCAACGTCGTCATGTGCTAGAGAACAATCAGTGTACCTCGACCTAAACCGATGTTGAGAATCAAAATACAAAAAAGCAGTAGGTGTTAAACGCTGGGGATGTCAACACTCGGTCAAGTAGAAAAGTACCTGTCAAATAAGATGGTACAAATATGTGTAGCTAAATCTTTTTTGCATGGTTAATAACATCTCATTCCTACTCGCGCCGTGACGTAATTACGTTCGCTCGACTGGCTATATATTCAATTCGCATCCACCGTATAAAAAACAATGCATTATTGACGTACGCAAGAAATTCGCGTTACGAAAGCTACGTAGCGTTATCGAACAGAGCCTACTCAGGAGATAACGTACACATTAAAGACAAGCCGCAGCAGCGCAATTGTGGCCAAGCAAACCCCAAGCTCTCGCCGCCCATGCAGTAAACCACTTTCATCTCCGCTCCTTTAGCGGAGGAATAGCAAAACCACGCAAAACTCTCTTCATGAAGCCCTCTTCCTTGTAGCCCAGCAGCATAACGAAAATTGACATCTGGCTCCCGAACAGATCGCTGCCATACGCAAGCTTAGAATGGCAGAGGCCAGATATAATAGGTGGACAAGATGAGTTGCAATTGTTTATACTTTCGGGGGAGGGGGGACCTGATGGAAATTACATTTTGAAAAAAAATAAAGAGGTCTTAAAAAAAATTTAAAAGCAGCTCTGCTTTTGTTCGTGGGTTTCAATAATTAATTAAATCCATAGTGCAGGGAGAGATGCACTGCTCTGGGTGGGGGCCACGCATCCAACTCAGCTGATGGAGCAAGGAGGGCGGAGGCAAGGGGGGAAGTCCCCAAAGTGACCAATTTCATCAAAATGCCCTCACAGCTGCGGTCGCCCAAATGGACGACAAAGAATCGAGACGTTATTTCCTCTCTCTCGTTACGGCCGGGCGATTAGCAGCAGCAACGTTCGATCTGCGTGCGCGCCGCGCGGAGGGTCGGCTCAGCCGGGCCGAGCCGGGCCCGTGGCAACATTGTTGCAAACGAACGTCGTTTTTTGAGAGACGCTGCCGGCGGAGTTGTCCCGAGTTTCGGGCATCGCGCCCGACGATGTGGACGGGAGTTCCACAGGCGGGCGGGCGTCGAGACACGGTTACGTTGAGCGACGGTGGCCAGGGGCAACCGGGATGTTCGCTCGAGGACTCAGGGTAGAATGCCCCCCCTTGGGGGAAGCCACCCTCATTCCTTGGCCTTGAAAACACAGGCCCTGCTGTGTCAGGGACATCTTGTGTGCGAGGGCCAATGCAAATTGCCCCTTTTAACCGCCCCCCTCCACTCCCCACATCTCTCATTGGCCTTAATCACGGCTCCTGTAAGAAGGACAAAGATCCCCCGTGTAGCCTACATGGTGCTTTTGGGGGCAAGCGATTTGTCTTATGCTCGCAAATATTTGACTAGCTTTACTCGGGACTTGGATTCACCACGCCCGGCCGCCTTTGTCTCCCCAGTCGCGATGTTCACACACCACAGCAGTTAATGGTTTGAGGCTGAGTCGACCTAGCGGAGGCCCAGGACCGATTAAAATAATCGTCACCGGTGGTGGCCGT